AGTTCCGTATCACGGATGTCGAATTCATTTTTGGGATAAACTCCTGAATGTCGTCCATGCCACTACGTTGCCACATAGGGAATGTGTTGCATGCTGCAGATTACATGATAGGACGAGGATGCGAAATGAAGAAATCCAAGCCACTACTTAATGCTTGCTATTACCAGTTTATTGGTGTGTTGAAACAGATTTGGCTGACAAAACAACTTTAGATGCATGTATGAGCCATAGAACTGCCACCGATGTGCACTGAATCATGATACTAACAATCTCACAGTAACTAGGCAGATCATAAAGACATTTTAATTGTTCACGATCTAATATCATCAAATTGCACACCCCTAGTTGAAGCACATCCTCTCACAACTCTAACCCCCAAACCAAACAAACATGCATTGTTGCTGCCTGAAAAATCCCCAGCCACAGATCAAATACCACTCAACTGAAAGAGAAAAAAACTGTTCTACATTATGGCTTCAGGAAGTCAGCAGGTTGTGTGACTGTTAGATTTAATTCAAACGCTTCTCTCCTAGCTGTTCCAAATACATAGTTAGACAAATATAGTTATTCCGTTATTCATTTATCCATGAAGTTTGGAACACAAGCTATGACTAATCTGCTTACATTAGAGTATTTCTGCAATCTACAATTTGAACCTGATGGGAAATATTTATTTACACCTTTAATCCTGTATATAACAACCAGACGGTGTCTGATTAAGTGTAAATTAAAGTTCTGAAAAGAACACTTTTGGAAGTCAATACATCCTAAATGACAGTGGTCCACAAAAGGCAGAACACACATTTAAGTACAGAAGCGCATTCTTCTGAATCAATAATAAAGAAAACAGACTAGCTGTGCAGGACCAATCTCAGTACCATTTAGCAAAATTTTTCATATTCTGAGAAACACGGAGCATGTTTAGAGATATAGTAATTATCTTACGTACAGTAATTGCAAATCCCCCCTTGTTTTATATAGAGTTTACAATGACACACAGGAGTCCTGTTCAGACAGCCTTGTGCCTTGGCGAAGCCTGGGATCGGCTGTAGGCCCCTCTGCGATTTTCACCAGGAAGACGGATGGCTACATAATACACCAGTTTATGTTTTCTTTTGCTCCCTGGGCCGTGATGCATATAACTGACACCCACAGCAGAATGGTGCAGATCAATAATTCTGAGTGAACAGTGTTATTTTTACCAGGACGTTCCTATATGACTTCGACAGTTTAAGTTTTAAAATTTTTGCTTTTTGTTTGTTCTATATCCATTTCATTTTTAATGCAATTTTTCTCCAAGATCTTAATTTTACCATAGATCTCTATAAAATATAGTAGGCTATATTATACACTACATGCAGTAGTTAGGAACGATAAATATATATAGTCTGGGGCTAAAACATTTATTTAGGAAACTACTGCAGTGGTTCCAATGGTTTTATTTATATATTTATATATAACCGGTTCGGAAAATGAAGGGGAGCAAGTCTGGAAGACGAGATTTTAACCCACAAGCGTCGACAGCGCCGGGGGACTTTCATATTGCGAAACGAGCACCGACACCATGACACAATTGCATCGTATGCACCCAGAAACCCGTAAAATAATAAAGATTTCAGCCAATTAGAAAAGTTTTTTTTTTAAATAAAATTTGTTTTATTCTCGGACTACAGAAAACATGAAACACACAATGTGTCACCTAGAAGGTGCTACAGTGTGCAGCAACCGATTGAGAAATCCGCACTAATGCGGTTATAATTTCAAAACAAACAAAAGACACTATTGACAAAATAATCGTTAGGCAATAAGATATGACCCATTCTAGAAAAGAAATGCTAAAGCTAACTTACTCGTTAGCGACTTACCAAACAGAACCATACGCCCCCGTCCCGATTTGCTTCAGGCATAAGTACTTCTCGGGTACTTCCCATACTGTGCTGTTGATCTCCTCTCGGTGGAATGGTGTCTCATTGTGGGACTCCATCTGGCGGAGTGCGTCAAGAAACCGGCTGAAATATAAAGTACGATGGCGTCTGCTCACCCCACGCGCTATTACTGTAAAACGCTCAACCTTTCCACCACAAGCTGGTTTACTCGACCCAGTGTTCAGTATAATAGTAATAGACGGGCAGTAAAATGTACCACTACGCGCAGAAGCTCATATCCACCCCTTCGTTAACTTTCAGTTTTCCCAAATGTTTAAGGACCAATAGCTGCGAGCGCTGCAAGCAGGCTGACGTCATTTAGCCGCCCACTCTTCGTACCTGAAAAAAAAAAGTTGGGGGTGAGAGGAGTACTGGCTTGCAGAAACACGCTCGCGAGCATGCACGTGCAGTGTCACTGTACTGTTGCAGTATTTCCGTCATCTCCTTCAGCAGGCCAAGGTTATCTGCTCGAGAGCGATATTCATACTGTCACGAGCCACAAAGAGTCCGTATATAAACATCATTTCAACCATAACATTTCATATTCTTGCCTTGTATCTTTTAAAACAGCCTGTTGACTCTGAACAACCGCGTTCATACGACATGTAGATTCTGCTACACTTTATCTAAAAAGCACACTCATGCAGGTAAAGCAAATTTGTACGTCTATATTTTTGATTATCATACGGCGATCTATGAGTATTGATATATTCATATATTTGTGCTGAGCAGTGCTTGTCAACACATTAGGGGACACAGGTAGAGGCTTTCTGAAGGGGCATCAGCTTAGCTGACAGCCGTCGCCACCCCTCAGCCCACACGTGAACCTGGGCGGTATAGAGGTATCAGCGGCTTGCCTAGGGTGCAACATGGGCTTCAACCTGCAGTGGTATAAGGGTACAGTTTATAACAGTAAGCATGCAGTGCTATTTCTGTAATAGCATAATAGCAGGGCACAGGAACTGAGGGGAAGGGTGGAATGTGTACCCCCCAGTATATAATTTGGCTTCATTCGTCCGTCCGCCCCCCCCCCCCAATAAACAGACCTTTATATTTGAATTATTAAGTTATGTCCCGCCCCAATATCAAACTTTCTCCTAAGCCTTTGTAAGGTGTCACTTAATTCTCTTTTTTCTGCCCCATAACAATTGACCTGTAATAGCAATGAATCCTTATACATGAAGTATTTCAGAAAAACTGAGTATTGCTTGAAAGCAAATCATTCATATGTGTTTTCAAACATTTTTAGACACTAGGATCTCTAGCTCAGTTCTTATGACATTAGGACCAGGAGTTTGGTTACTTAATTCATCTACTTTTCTTTAGGTGTCTGTGAGTGTCTGTGGCCCATATCCCCAAATATATTCTAGTTTTTTTAAATGTTATTTTAATGAAAGAGTTTTGTTATAAATTGAAAGCACATGCAAATAAGATGTGCTCAATGGGGTATATCTTATTGGAGACTGGAATGCCAAAATTAGAAATTAGAAGGTGGGCTGGCTTGGAAGCAGAAAAGAAGTTGGAGAGTGACTAATCAGCCTCCATGAAACCAATAACATACTTATTGTCAATACATTTAGTGTAACCAAAGTGATGCCTGTACGTTCAGGTATCACCATATGGACTTCACAGAAATTAAATAGATTACATTCTCAGTACCAAATAATGGAGGAGGTCAATCCATAATTGTAAAGATGTGGTTTGGAGAAGATCATGGAAAAGATCATGAACTACTGTGCAAGCTCCAAATAAGGCCGAAAAGGAACAAGAAGTCCATCCAGAAATGATTTGGAAAATATATACCCATGGCCTTGAAGGAAAACACCAGTAACTGATTTGAGAGGGAACCAGAAGAATTGTAGAACTCAAAGAATTATCCAAGATACATCTGCTTGGTCAAAACTGAAGAGTCAACAAAATTAAAAAGATTGACAAAAATTGCAACAGGAAGAGAAGCCAAATCAGGAAAGATGTCTTACAGATCTCTTAAAAGTGCTAAATCTAATCCCAACTCTCCCAAACCCCCAACCTCTACAGTTTCTACCCCCCTACACACTCACCACCTCACAAAAAAAATCCTTATTAAAATCCCAGTTTTGTGACTATTCTCAATATAATCAGGTTCACCAGAACTGCATACGGGACTGTCTTTTCATGTGGCACCACTAAGTGACACTGCTTCAATTTTGTTGTAATCTGAAATAGGCCCTATACAATGTTCCTGGGAAGCTTGAAGAGATACATGAAATGCTTTTGGAGTTACTGTGTCACAACATCATGTGTCTTGTGTAGCTGCCCGTTCCTTCTTTTGCTGCCACCTAGTGCTGCTGCTTCAACTTTGGTGTGATTTGCCTAAAAACAGGGGTAGATCTTCATCCAAATAATGTTTTATGAAGTAGTAATAAGATCCATCAGATACTTTTTGAGTTATCACAAGGTTGCATGTCTTGGGGAGACACCCTTTGCTATCAGGAAGTAGCATTGTTTCAACTTGCAATTGGTCTGTTCTAGATCTTCACCCATAGAATATGTCTGCAAAATTGGAAAATATCTGTCCCATGCTTCTTTTTTTGATTGTGACCCAGCATATAACCCATTTTTGATGCAAGGATTCATGTATTTTAATCATGATGGAAAAGATTACAAACTGAATACTATATTGCGGTGTTTTATTTTTGGGAGTGTTTCACCTTTCTCTAATAAATCATTTTCTGGCTCATTTCTGTTAGTGAGATGTCATCCTAAGTTTTATGTTACAATCTTCCCTAGATGGGAAGTGTTTTTGGGGGGCATATTATGAGAAGATGCAATGCATTAGAAAACAGCATAGGTTGAAATTAAATGAAGAAGTGGAAATTCAGTTTGAAAAAGATTAGTGAAATACATTTTGAGTTATTGCACTAATGGCATAAAATTTCAGACAAAAGGTGGAAAGACTCAATAATTACAACAGAGCACATGCCTTTGGAAAGACTTAAAAATATATATGTAGGAATGCTGTCTATATGGTCCGCTGGAGTTAACATCTGGGGTCTTTCAGCTGTCTATAAGCCATAGTCATTTTACTTACACAAATTCTTTGGGAAAAGGAGTTTATTGTTGCTTAATACAGCAAAGACAAATCACAATTATATATAAATATACAAGATGCTCAATACCGAATAATCTGTGTGAAATGTGTTTTAAAATTTTTTGTTGACTTTATTGACAGTTGGTTGAGTTTTTATTATGTAATAATTGTGCATGAAGTATAAAATGATGCTGAAAAATTCAGTCTAATTAAGGAAATTAAAGAAAAATAAGGGTAGGCATGTCTAACATAAAGGCCCTTTATCTCCTTATCTTTACCCAGTTCTCCTATAGTTATTCCCTTCTGAATCCCCCCCCCCCCCCCCCAGCCTCGCCTCACTGGACATAGGCTCCCCAAGGCTGGTGCCTCAACAAGATGAGGTGATTGTGGCGCAGTGTCCTCAGCTCTGTGAGTCGGCCCAATAGCCGTGCAAACCGCTGAGGGTCCAGAGACCCATGGGGGCCCAGTGGCAGCTCACACACCCGGGACAGAAGCTCCAGGACATGCTCCTGCAGGACCTCTACTTGTGTGGGGGCTTGGAGGCAAGTTTGGTCTGGCCACAAGAATAGAAAGGAAGAGGAATGAAGAAGTCGCTGAGGCAGCAGATACAGTGAACATGACAGAGAATTCAATGCACACACGAAAATAATATAGTATGTCCTTACAGATGTGTTAGTTGTTGTTGTGGTTGACAGTGACCAGCAGAGGGAGCTGCTCACCTGAACACAAGAGTGCAGTAGCTGTAAGAAGAGCATACTCTGCCTCTGTCACCCCTAGAGCCACCATGCTGTGGAAGAAGTTTATTGCTGGTCTCAGCAGCTCTTCAATGGAACCTAGTAGAACAGGATTTTAGCCACCTGTAGCAATTATTTAATATTTTTGGACAAATTTCAGAAACCTCTCATCAGTATAAAACATGGGTAATAAGGTCAGATGCACAGTGGGATACCGTATCCACATGTCTCAGTAACCGCAGTTTCAGTTATTCACGGTTTACCAAAATTCCAGATATAAATGGTTCATAAGTTACAAACCGCTCGCCAAGCAAGCGCAGGCCGTAACATGGAGAAATCCGCCATCCCAGTCACGCCCAGTACATGACTCATCTCCCTCTGTCCCCATACCCAAGCTTCCCTGCAGAACTCTCATCCAGTCTGCCTCTAGTATTCTCGCTGATCGCATTCGCTGCCACGCTATCGCAGTGTCTGTGTTATAAAAATGTATAAAAGCGTAATTTTCATCACACTATTGCACGATATTTTTTCATTGCTTTGTCGTCTCTTGAGAATTAGGCTTATGGCTTGCTGTGTGCAATTTATCAATTAAACTTCACCATATGTATATACACCAAAATCACGGTTTATATATAGGGCCCGTGGATGATTTGCTATTTTCTGTGGCTTTTGCCGGCTATGGTACGTAGGTCTTGGAACGTATCACCCGTGGATACAAGGGGACCTACTGTATCAGCAAGTGGATTGAAACTTGTAAGTAGTAGGTTTCAGACTCAAATCAATGGGCTGATTACTGTAAATGACGGACCCCTGTGTTGTGTCCTCTGATGCCTGGGATGGGCCCTGTGACCCTGTACTGAATACTGGAAGATGAATGGATGGTTGAATAAAGGGATGGATGGATGGATGTGAGCTTTGTAGGATAGTCTGGTAGGAAGTACATGCTTACACTCAGTACACATTGTAAGAGGCATATAGAAACAATTCAAATCTACACAAATATTAGGTATTTGTGAAGGGCTAATAGTATAAAATTAAGCACAATCTTGAAGGTTTACTTAGAGAAAGATATGGTAACAGTTTCCATGAATATCATGTGTATACGAATTTATGAACACATTTGTAAGAGATTTTAATGCATTTATAAAGCATTATATACATGGCTATAAATATTTATAAAAAGACAAAACACATTATAGCCATGTTTATTATGCAGTACAAACAATCCATAATTCTTATACCAACCACCATAATGCATCATGAAGGTATCTATAGTGCAGTATAGTTGAGAGCTTAATTGGAGCTTATGAAGTATTATAATCAACATTATAATGACTTATGACTGTCAATAGAACATGCTTTATTAATCCTTATACTGACCATTATAATGCATTATAAAGATATCTATAGTGCATTATAAATGAGAGCTTCGTAGGAGCTTATGAAGTATTATAATCAACATTATAATGACTTATGACTGTCAATAGAACATGCTGTAATGATTTTTGTAATGTAAATCTTATAGTAAAAATTATAATGCATTATGAAGGTTTCTATAGTGCATTATAGATGAGAGCTTCAAGTAAAGTGTTACTGATAATATCCAATGTCTGTGTGCTACACCATAAATATTGTAACATATATGCATTATATCCCTTGATTTTGGATATCTGAGCTGGGCAGCACACCTGAGGAGGCACTCTGCTTGGAGTGGGGGGGTTTTAGCCAGGGAAAGAGTGAGGTGTCCTTCCCCATGGGGTACAATGCTAACAGGGGTAAGGGCAGGTTATCTGAGAAAGAAACAATAAGACAAACAAAAGCAACAGTGTTACTCATAACACAGACTGGCTTTCAGTTGTGAATGAGCATCTGCAGTAAACAGCAGCAGCCCCAGTACCTGTACCAGTCAGTACCTGGAGTGGTTCCCAGGGCGAGGAGTTGGGCAGAGAGCAGGAACATGACTTCCACAGACGAGCTGCAGAGCAAGGCCACCTGATCAGTGTAGTCCAGGAGTTCAAACCCTGCAGGAATATCACCAAGTAAGCAGCTGAGAGCAAATGGTTTGTGGGGCTCAGGAAGAAAACACAACAATTAGCATAAAATGGTCAGAGCTGGAATGATCATCACCAGACAAATAATTTTGTGGAGGGAAACAGAAAGACATGCAAACTACACACATCGGGCCAGAGTTATTAGCAAACTAGCATGAGTGCAATGAAAAAGGTATTAATGGGATCTGCGGGTGATCTGCTAAAAATGCAGAAATATATGAACACAGATGCAGTCAGTAAATTTAAATAATTATTGAGCCAATTTACCAAGGGCAGCACAAAATAAGAAATGCTTTTTTAAACATTAAATAACGGCACAATTTTCAGTAAATTGCCTACCGCAAACTTTAGTAAATCACATGACATGATTCAGTGGTACCTTGGAACACAAACTTAATTCATTCCACAAGGCTGGTTGAGTCGCAATTTGGTTGAGGTCCAAGTTGAATTTCCCCATAAGAAATAATGTGAATGCATTTAATCCATTCCAGACTCCCAAATGACTGCCTATTTAAACGTATCTACCTACCTAATGATAAAAATCATTAACAATCAATATAAAACTAATACACACGTGAAAAAGCACACATACAAAAACAATGAACATGAAATAAAGGACACTCTCATACTCCGAAGCGAGAGCAGACACACGTGCACCACCTTCAAGTTTCACTATAATTTCCTTTTTAAGTTCTACAGTTACTCTCACTACTTTCCCCATTGGTTTGCTGTTCAATTCAATTCAATTCAATTCAATTCAATTCAATTCAATTCAATATCAACCATTAGTAAATCTGGCGCATAGTATGGGGGGGGGGTTATAGTTCGTGGCTCACCTGGAAGACTGCAGGAGAACTCTAACAGCCTTTGACAATTTGGGGAGGAGGGGTCCTCCAGCTTGGCTTCCAGGTTATCTATCCTGGGCAACTTCAGTACCTTGGGAGATATAGAGACTGTCAGACTCTGACAGGTCTGCTAAGCCTTATGTAGCTAAGCAGTGCAGCATCTGGCAGTAACCAGGAAATGACCATCTAAATCCTACCCAAGTATGAGCAGGGTCCTGTGCCCTGTACCGACGGTGAGCCTCCACAATCCCTTCCACTATGACCTGCTCCTCTCTCGAGAGGCCTGCAGACAGCTGCAGACAGAGAGGCTGTTCACTGACACCTTTATGCAGGTATGACAGACACCGTGTCTGGAGAATCCCTACCTGTCCTACGACCCTACAAGTAGAAGAAACAGCCTTTCCCTCCACACTGTCCTCTTCCTCCTCCTGCTTGCATTCGGACTTGTTTGATTGCTTGGCACTCTTCCTAAGACGCTTGGATTGGCACTGCACCTCTGTCAGCAGGCCTGCAGTGTGTGACACATGGGTTAGGGCAGAAAATGTGGGGATAATTTCGGCGTGGAAAATGGAGACAGAGGACGAGCTGGGGAAAAGTTTTAAATATCCAGTTCCCAATGAGATTTTGGATGCTAGTTTACAGTGGGCACTTTAGTCCAGAAGACCAGCCGGTTAAAGGACTGACACGTTACGCTATCTAGCTACAGCTCATGTGAGTGTTTAGGGGAGGGGGGTCAGTGAGACTCACACTCGGCCAGCATGCCCACAGCACGGCACTTTCTCAGGCGACAGTCTTGACACTTTCGCCGCATGTACATGTCCATCTCACAGCCTCCGCCACTTTTGCAGCGGTAGACAGCCTTCTTTGTAATGCTGCGTCTGAAGAACCCTGGGAGGAGGAAACGGCGAAGGAGGTGATGAATCAAAGCTGTGGTGACCTGCAATTGTGATCAAAAGGATGCTACCAGTGTTCCGCAGTGATTTAAGTGAAATTAAACACAGAACAGAGTGAAACAAGTGATTCAGAACAGAGATGAGATGAGATGAGATATTCTTGTGCAAACAACAGCAAGGTGCATAGAGGGCAGACAAGGACACATTTAGTGCAAAACAGACAAAGTGCAAAGACAGTAAACAGTGCAAACGAGTAAACAAGGTGCAAACAAATTAAAAAGTACACAGTAAAATTGTAACATGATCAGAGTGGATAAAAGCTACCTGTCTATTTCAACCATGCAAAAAGAAGGACAATAAAGCCTAGTTCATATGTCACTTTTCCTTGTGCACTTTCATTCCGGGGGCGGCCGTCTGTGCAGAAGTTTGTGTTTATACTACATTTGGCTGTGGATGCGGATGGTTGCGGTCAGTACATGCAAAAAGCCGCGATATTCCAGTAGAGGGCAGATGTATTGCAACAAGCACAAACACAAGCAGGTGAACCTTTTATGAACAGTTTAAAAGTTATTTTTAAGCAGTATTAATGTAGTATGGTATACCACGGTATTTTAAAACCATTATGACAAAATTAGCTGCACCCCCACACAGGCAAATTTTATCACCAAGATCAAAATGCCAGAGTTTCATTTCAAAATACCATATACTGAGGTATAATGTCCCCTCCACATGTAATCTCCGCATGTCCTACAACAATTCCTCTTCTTCTACTCTTTCTTGGGTTACCTCTGCTCTGTGTACGTCAGTGCTGCCGGCAGCAACAAACACCTAGTTAATTTCCACATGCACAGTCAACACAAACTGAAGCATATGATTATCCCCAGACATAAAAATCTGGGCTACACATGCACAATCCGTCACTAACCCCTGATGACCAAATTTATGTTACTCATTCTCTGCATGGCCCAGAAGTGCAGATGGAAAAGTGAAGTATGAACTGGCATTAAGAATAATAACATGGTGATTATTGGAAGATTCCCACCTTTGCAGCCCTCACAGGTCAGTGCGTTGTAGTGGTACCCTGAGGCCTTGTCCCCACACACCATGCAGAGCTCTCCGGGGCCTCTGGTCCGCCCTCCAGGGCCTGGCCTGGGTCGCTTTATCTGCTGTGATCCTACCACACCTACGAGTTGCTCCACTGAGGCCTCCAGGGGTGGTTCCAGACAGGCATAGGCATATGGCGAATAGCAGGGCTGTGGTGCTGCTGCCCCCTGCGTGCAGAAGGGCAGGCCGATGGAGCCATACTGCTGCTGGGTGTAGGGCGAGCCGTGCAGCTCGGGCTCCTGGAGAGGGTAGCTCAGGGAGTCTGACAGGACATCTGTGGAGATGGCAGAGACCCGCAGGAGTGTCTGAGTGCCACCACAGGTAAATGGCCAAAACTGTGTCCATTATCAAACAGAGTGGGACTTAGCAATGGAGGAATGTAGAAGGCTATTATTTACTGAATTTTTTGTTAGCAAAGGGGGCGCTTGATAAAATTGCCCCCACCCCCCCGCTACTGCATGTAGCTCAGCTTTGTTAAAAAATGTGAATAAACCGCAGTCGTGACACAGACAAATGGGATCCTCTTCCATGTGCGCTATGAGCTTTCGGATTTGGAGGAAGTAAGGCAGCGCTGGAGCCGCGCCAAAGGGCAGCCAGGGTGTTCCCACACACAGACGGCCCAGCGGGACTCAATAAAAAAATATCAACAGCAAAATACAAAGCAGCCTTATGATCCCCTCGGACCCCAGGAACAGGATGCAGCTGAGAGGTGACAGGGTTGCCGCTTTATGACCTCATGATTTTATACACTTTTCATTCATTTTTTTTCACTGCTACTTTTGAAGAGGCTGTATTCTATGTCTCCTCCGCGGGAACCATGAAACGGAGGAAATGGAGGAAACGATTTCCCATCGTTGCGGGCTTACTAGCCCCTGGGCAGCTCCAGGCTTTCTACATCAGATACTGCTGCGCTATTCAGCCGTGGTACTAAACCATAGTGAGCGCCGAGAGTGCAGAGCAGGACCGCTGTTAGTGGGAAGCTAAGCTGCAGGCACAGGTCTAAACTAGGGATCCTTCAGCAACCCAAATGGTGAGAACGCGGCACTGGCATAGCTGCAACCCGGAATGTCAGCATGTCATTTCAGAGTGAAAGACCCCCAGAACTGCCTGATTTAAGCTGCCTGTATACTTCAGACAAAATTGATAGAATTAGACTCGTTTTACCAATACGACATCATATGAGCCGTAATTGCCGTGGTGATCACCGTTTCGCCGCACCACCTGTGCAGGGCTCACGAGGTGAATATTTTCTTTTGTTCTGATCCCACCCACTGTCCATGATTGGCTGACATATATGTGACGCCAGATGATTGGTCAGCAGGGCTAATTAGGAGTTACCGGGATGCTTTGCACCAAACTGCACATCTATCTGTAAATAGTGTAAATTAACGTGTATTCGTTTATTTATGTCGTAAAATGTGAATATTGTAGACGTGTAATGTTTGCCGTAGAATGCGTTTGTTTCATTAGTGTGCAACCGTGAGATTTGTGTACGTTTTAAAAGAGCTGTCATCTCCTACATTAATATGACTCATACACTCATCACAGTATGTTTAATTGTGCTCTGCGTGTGGGTCTGCTGTATCAAAAATATTCTATGCCCTCTAGGGTTGTGGTGTCATTTTAAGTATGCGTCAGATTGTTCTCGTCAGCGCGTTCGATTTAGTTTTGTCCGGACATTATTTGAAGTATGCAGCCAGTCCAAGTCCAAGACCATCATCTGGCATTCCTCATATTCTGGTGCATTCAGCATTCAGTTAATAGTTTCTTCGCTCTCTTTTTTCATCGTTTAGTTCTCATTCGATACTCTGCTCGGCCTTTTGCTCTCACAGATGGCTTCCATCCTCAGTGAGGTTCTATCGTGTGACAAGCTTGTGGTAGCGTCTATTTGTAAACGAGCAGAGTGTAGAGTAAACACTGTTGCCGCCATGAAGGCGACCCCCTCAAACCCCCACCAACTCTGTCACTACATGCCTGTCCAGCCAGAACAAGAGGGGGCAGCTTTGGACACACAGGGAAAAAATATCTTCCATTATAGTACAGGTCCTTCACAGCCATGATAGAGAAAACTATTCCCACTCATCCATTTCAGTCCTGAACAAGTGCTATTTGGTGTCCTGCATGATGAATTGCCTGGAATAGCTTATACATCAGTGTGTATTGCTAAATTTTGTTGGATGGTGGCCCTGTTAAGCATGGACATGATTAGAAAAAAGATTGGTGCCTGAATATTCATCTGAAGATATGCAAGCAGGTGGTTTAGGATGGTGTTTGAGAGTACCTGAGTGTGAGGTCTTCAGGATTCGTGTAATATGGGCACCATGGCTAGGCTCAGGGGAATCCAGAGGCACAAAGCAGGGAAAAACCCTGGATGTCGCACCAACCCATGCCAGGGCGATTGTATGGATAACAGTGTTACATTACTATTATGAAAGCAATACTTGATTGTCACAAAGGAAAAAAAATGTGTTTGAGTGTGGCTCAGTGGGCTAAGTCACTGTGCCTTTAATCAGAAGGTTGCTAGTTTGAGGTTAGTCCTAATATGGCCCTCAGTGGGCTAAGTCACATGTCTGTGGGCCCTTCAGCAAGGCCCTTAAACCTCAGCTCCATGTGTGCTGGTCATTGCTGTGACCCCTAGGCTTGCTGTTATATGTGTTTTGTGTAGAGCAAGATGGGGTAGGTGAAAACAGAATCTCTACACAGGAATCAATAAAGTATCATTAGTTTCTATCCCCTTGTTTTCAACCATTAGAGCATCCGGAATTCTGAGATCAATGTATAATATTAAAGTGTGTATGAGTCTCACCATAATACTGCAAAGGTTCCACAATACCAAATCCATCTGTCATGGACAGGAAGCCACTGCCTGGCATGGTCAGCTCCGCCTCCTGCCACTCCCTCATTTAGGTCACCGTTTGAGCCTCAACGTTTACAAACGTATCATGCCTGTAAAGGGAGAAACGTTTTGTCATTCTCGTTGTTATTTTGTATTTTTGTGGTGATCACCCAAACCTGTGATCCTCCTCTCTTTGGCCATACAATTGGTTCACATTTTTGAAAAAATTGTCATCATTCCCTTTTTTGACGCATTCCCAATTTTTGTCATAGAAATTTGTTTCTAATGTTTAGATAAATATGTTTTTTTCCCGCTTCATTACAGCCTTCTGGGTTGTACTGACTGTAAGTGAGCAACAATGTAAGTGTCTGATGCACCACTAGTAGGTGCTGGTGCAGTGGTCCTTCGAGGTGCTTGAATAACTCGAGTGATAGACATATACCCACAAGAATAAAGGAACAATTTCAAAGATCCCACTGCCTAGCACAGTATTCATGTGCACTGCTGTTTTGAATACCAAAACACATAAACCTTTTTAGCTGCCTATTCTCTGTACTGCGCATGACAAGCAAGGCATGGAGTGTGAGAAAGAGTGAGAGAATCCCTTCCAAACAGCTGCTCTGGCCCAGGGTTCAAAGGAGGAAGTCATCATCCAAGACATAAGGGCAGGTCCTGTGAGTCCTTGGCGCAGTGCAGCTGGGATCTCAGCACCACCTGAGCTGGAGGTCCTGCCATGAGAAAAGGGCCCTTTTCTTCCCTCCGTGTGATTCTCCCAACTCCCGTTGAGCTGCAGAGCACGAGTCACCAGGATACTGTAATATCGCAGTGTTCCTTTCATGCTCAGATTTGTTCGGAGCTCTTCTCTTGGTCCTTACTGCTCGCATGGCCTCATCTGTTTCTCTACATTCTGACTTTGCTGGTTCCTCATGGGGCTGCACGTGACAGGCAGATCATCCCCGAAACACCCAGAGATTGTTTACTCTGCATCTTGTTTGCCGTCGCTCTGTTTGTCTCATGGTTAATGGTTGACTTTTAGGCAGATTTAGGATCTGGGACACTGGGTCTCTGTCTTCCTTCCTAAGCATCTCAGTCATTACAGAACAGTGTAGAGTTTCACGTTTTGCTCTGTAGAATTACTTACAATACAGTTCTCCGCAGAGGCCCTTCAAAACCAACATTTGCATTCTCTTATCCTGCAAACCAAAGAGCAACCACTGGATGGCCAATGCATTATTTTAGGTCATGTGATGCAAGAGTCCAACCAAATTGCAGAAAAAGTTTGTGATTAACATGAAAGCAGGCAACTGCTAAAGAGGAGCGCTAGCTTTAGGATGCAGCCGGAATACACCACTGCGTGAGAGAGGCCTTCCTGTCAGCTTTGTCAGCCAGCAACAGCAGTGACATACAAGAGGATGTCACCACCTTGACACCAACAGCAAGCAATGACACAACTCAGAGGCTTAGATTTATATCCAGGCACATGCCCACCAGTCACACATGATCTAATCTTCTATAATAATAATTACTATATTGAAGATTTTCATCTTTTTCAGTTTTTATCATTTCATTTGTGTCCATAAATACACAAAAATATATCAGTAATCTCTACATACATACTTACATATATATATACCTCATTGTCAATAAATGCACATAAAGATGCACATATATTATATATGAAGCAACATGCTAAAACCTCATACAGGTGAATTAATTCTAACTAGTGGTTTCTATTTGAACATTTGAATGATTAGATAAGTAGATGTAACTGTTCACTCCTCAATAAATAATGCAATATTCCCATGCTGTTATTGGATTTCAATTGACTTTTTCTCCTGCTTCTTTTGTGTATTTGTTGTTGTACTAATGGACAAGGACACTTAAATGGACAAATTACTTATTTAAACAGCTTTGACTCTCTCGAGTCTCCAGTGTGGGTCAACAAACCAATTCATGTCTAATACCAATGTTTCACTATGTTGTTTTTATTTTTTGTTTAAAAATAGCATAGTTGTAACTTCTTTGTTTACTCTAACCCCGGCAGAAAGGAGGTATGTTATTCTTCTTCATCTTGAGCAATGTGTCACTGTTGGCCACATTCTCACACTGCTGTCAGCTGCTTATAAATCTGTCCCTCTACCTTGCCAAGCCAGGGACGAAGAGCAAAATGGGCGGGGTTAGGGGTAGGGAACTGGTGAGACCAATTAAGCACTCGCATCATACATCATGGGCTGACGCTATGCCAGTATCAGACAGCTGTATGGATGGGGATTGAGAAGCAGAGACCCACTGTTTCTGATGTGGGAACATGTCCCCATCACACCCTTAACGTAGACTTGGCATCAACTGTATAAATCTCCTGTTGCATTCTCAGTTGCTCGTCTTCACTTCTATCTGTTGCACAGGCCTGAATATTTTATGTTCTGTTTGCCAGTAGCCTGGCTTAGATAGGGGAGTGTTTACAGATGCAAACAGGAAACAGACCCTCAGATTACAGTGGCCTTGCAAAAAAAAAGGGGAGGGGGTTAAAGTCCATAGTTGAGTGTGGTAGAATTAAATCACAGCAGCAAACCAACCTCAGATAAATGATGAGCTTCTTGAAACTTCTACAGTGTTGCACAAGCTGCAAACCAGTGTGTGTCTTTTTAGAATCACAGCATGCTACACATAGTGAATACATTCTGTTTTCTTTCAGCTGGAAAGAATTTTTAAATCCCAGTGAATCTGCTTTTTGGGTCCAGTGCAATCTTTTTGTGTAACCTTGATTTATGACCTTATACCTTTAACATCCTGGTGGGCTGTGTGAGCTTAGTCTCACCTGGAAAGCTTCACTTGGAGCTGCTGAGCTCAATGTACAGCATTGTCAATTGTTTTGTCAAGGCCCTGTCTCACATATGGTTAAAATGTTAATCATTATCTTCATGAAAAACATTTCCTGCTTTCTAAAGACACTGTGAGTGGCTGAAACCTAACTTCAGTTGAAAAGTTTCCTGTTGCTTTTGATGAATGATTTAATTGCTGTTCAATTGCTGCTTGTTTTAATGCTTATTCCTATGAAATGAATAAAAATCAACAATTTATTTACACATACTTTTTAGCTAACACTATTATTTTTAATATAGTCTCTATTATTATGTAGGAATAGAGAGATATTTTCTGAGACAAGTGTCTAGTTAAGTTATATTGGCCTTCATGTGTCCTTGTATATTGAACTTCAACCATTCAAGCCGGGTTACAGTGGCAAAAATTCCAAAAAGACAGTCCACAATGTTAGTGAAACAAACCAAACATGCCAAATCTATCAGTTATCTTTGTGTGAGACATGCAGCCACAAGCTGTCTGCCACTGAATCTTTGTCCATCAGATTAGAAACCAAACTGTGAAGCCTGCTTTAAACTGCCCTGATTTTAGCGATTCCACCAACACTCAGTGTGCTCCTCTGACACCCACCTCTGACACCCACCCACCAACCAATGTAACTCCCATCCTTTCCTGTCACATCTACACACTTGAAAGTCATACTGCTCTTGCCAGAAACTGTTACCTTTACCAATGGGGCAGATTCGCATCTATACAGAAGGCACCTTCTCTCATGGGCAATGGTATGTGGAGAGACCTGCCAGTCAAATACAGCTGCGGCACAAGTTCAGGGTTAGAAACTCAAAGGCCCTCATAGCACCCAGCCGTCTAGCCCAGAGGAAAGCGGTTATTTTGTAACAGCAGCCTTACTTTCAGTGTTACTTCAACAACTTGTGCAACAGAATATAAGAAAGAGGTATGGACTCACCGTGATCTGCTTTCCTGAATGTTGGAGCTCTTGTATACTCCTGATTTTGCTCTCCTAATCTGAACTCATCCGCTCTCCCAGCTTCCAGTCCCCAGTGACTAACAGCCCCGCCCCCGACACCCTACACTCTCTAAACACATGCATGCAGAGACACGGCACACTTTCACACACATACACACTGCAAAAGACAAACTCTTTACACATGCAATATAAAACATATCCTACACATATACGTTCCACACACAGACTTTCCAACACACTGTCCAAACACCATATGGAGGTATGTATACTTCCTCCACACCTACACATTTCAAAACTCTCCCTCTCATTAAAATCCCACACTATCACACAAACCATGGCAACAGTTCTGTTACATGAGTACATTTCATGACATAAATGACAGTCACGCAATAAGGTACAGCAGGGCAACAGGCATCAAGACAACAACACTGTAACACAACAAACAAGTTACCAACACACAGATGGAAGACCTCACAGAGGAGAGTATATTTACCTTTTCATTTATCTTCCAAGAGGAAGTGATTTTATTGTTTATGGTGGCATGCAAAAGTCTGGGCATCCCTGGTCAAAATTTCTGTTACTGTGAATACTTAAGTGAGTAGAGGATGAGCAGATCTCCAAAAGGTATACAGATGACATTCTTTTCAACATTATAAGCATGTTTAGTATATTATTTTTGTTTTGTACAATTTTAGAGTGAACAAAAGGGAAAGGAGTGCCATGCAAGAGTTTCAGAACCCCAAGAGATCTGAGCTCTTAAATAACTTTTAAAAAGTTCCATCCAACCATTTTCTGTAACTACTGTACTTGTCCTATTCAGGGTGGCGGGGGTCCGGAGCCTATCCCAGAGGCTACAGGTGCAAAGCAGGGAACAACCCAGGATGGGGCGCGAACCCATCACAGGGCGCAGTCACACATACCATTTACTGACATAGGCACACCAATAGGCAATTTGACAACTCCAATCAGCATGTTTTTGGAAACCCGCAAGGACACAGGAAGAACGTGCAAACTCCACACACATGGAGCAACCGCAGAAAATCCAGCCCTGGTCCTAGAGGTGTGAAGCGACAGTGCTAATCACAATTAAGGTCTCAGACCTTAATTAGCTAGTTAGAGCTATGACTTGTTCACAATCATCATTATGAAAGGACAGGTGATGCAAATTTCAGTGATACCTGCACAAATATGACCTTCATGGGAGAGCCATCAGAAGAAAAGAATGATGGTACAAAGGTTTTGGGGACAGATGAGATGAAAGTGACTCTTGATGGAGCAGATTGATGGGCCAGTGGATGGAGATCCTCTTCAAGCACCAACAAGGTGATGGAGGAGAGATGACATGGGCTGCAATTATCAGTGATGAACTTGTCAGACCTTTCTGACTTGCAGATGGTGTAAAAATTATCCACAAGGTCTACTGGCAATTTCTAGAAGATACCTTCTTCAAATACTGGCACCAGAAGCTTTCTAAAAGGTTACAATATTCCTGCAGGACAATGCCCCTCCCTGTGCATCAAAGTATTTCATAGATTGGCCTAGAAAGGCTTGAAATGTGATTGAATTATGACCTGCCCCCCTTAATTGCCTGACTCAAGAACTACTGGACCTTACCAAAGTGTGAGATTTACCAAGGTAGCAAGCAGTACCCTTCTCAGAGAAGCATCTAGGAGGTGGTCCTAGCTGGCTCAGCTAGAAAAGGATTAAATCAAAAACCTGATTGGTTCAGTGGGCAACAGGCTCATGATGGTCATTTAGAAGAAAGGTGGCTATACTGGACATTAAACTTGGCGAAGTGGGCTGTATAGAATGACTGATAGCTTGTTATTTCTTATATACACTGAATAACAAAAATTGTTTATTATTTCTGTTGATGGTGAAGAGAGAAAATCCACTTAGTTTATGATTGCCTAATAATTCTGCATACTGATAATCAAGCATTTTTCTTTTATTTTTGTTTGTGAATGTCAAATGTAACATTTTCTCTCTAAATTTACTTGGTGCACAAGAAAACTTCTGAATACATTTTCGTAAGTCTGCCCAACTTTTGCTAAAAATTATCTCCAGGAATAGTACTCGCCTAATAATTCTGCTCACAGTGTAGTCTTTTGTAAGGAAAGATGGGCGAAAATCCCCCAAACGAGAACTGAAAAAGTCACAAACATTGAAGTATCATTGAAGCCACAAAAAGCTGAGATACTTGTACTTGTTACTAAGTACTGATCATGTAGGTTACCCAAACTTTTGCTTCGAGCCCTTTTCCTGTTTCTTATTTTGAAACTGTAAAAGATGGAAATAAAGTAATCTTGCTTAAAATGACAGGAAATGTCATCTAACTACATGCCCTTTGGAAATCAGTTCATCTTCTTATTCACAGCAAGAGAAATTTTGACCAGGGGTGTTCAGATTTTTGCATGGCACTGCATATTGTCCAAGGAAAGCGAGAGGTTTGGGACTTTGTTGCTACTTTCATGTGGGTCAAGCTCATCTGACAAACACCTCCCTGCCCCCCCCCCCGACCTTTGACACTGAGGCAAAAATAAAGTGAGTGTGCAGGATCAGAGTGACATCTTTGGTCAGACCAGGGTAAATTTTAAGAGTCCCCATCTATATCTGTATGGGTACATCAGAACCTTACCTGATCAGTCTTCACTGAGGATGCCATTCTTTCAAGCCACAGTAAAGCAATGGTAAAAGAGTTCCTTTGTCAGTCTCTGGATTTGACAGTGAAGACCAACTGGAAAAAAACCTGCCCAATCTCACCTCCTACCTCATTAGCTTTTCCTGACAGATTAATCTTCCATGTTTGGTATTGAATTTAAACATTAATGGTGAAAGGCAGACTGAAGGAAACCAGCAGTGGGGAGTCAAAGTGGAGGAGCAGAATGAAGTGATACAGGAGGGGGTCTCATTAAGACATTCCCAGCAGCAGTGCTTGTATAAACAGCCCCCGGTTTCTGACTGCAGACTGCCCACTATCACTGCCTCTTGCAGCAGACCCCCTACCCTAAGCCTAACCCCCTACCCTAACCCTACCCTACACTCAGAACATGACCTGAGGTTCTCTGGCTGCCGTAGCGACTTTCGCAAGCAGAGAGGTGACCATCTCTTCACATTCACCATAGTCACTCCGGAAGCTCGACCTCATCCCTCCCCGATGTCCTCAAACCACAAATACCCCAGGAACAGCCAACCCCCCCCCCCTCTCTGGGTGGCCCTTCACTCCCTTATCACTCATACTAAGGAGATGGATTGGGGGGTGATTCTCTGGGTCAAAACTCCACTCCTATTTCTCTTTGCAAAATGGGACACCAATAACAACCCAGTAATGAAGGAAAACATTTCTGTTGCTTCCAGGAACCCAAACTGCCATGACACTCCTCTACTGATTTTTTTTCTGTGGAGGGGTTAGAAGTTAGAGGTCATGGGTTAAGAACAAGGGTATGATTACTGCTACAATACTGACAGTCAAGGCTAAACTTGTTACTGGGTGAAGACCAAGTCAAGACCAAAGTATTCAAGTGAAAAATCTGCAGAACAAGCAAATTCATAGTAAAAAAAAGACATCCTTTCATTACATCTTTAGAGTGAATTAATAAAGCTGGATGGTGAAATTAAACTGTTGTATATTTGGTTCATCCATACAAAATTAACTGTAACCATTACAGTGTTCCTATATGCAGGACTAGTGTATGCCATAGCATATGTCAGCGTTTATTGTTGTGCATGTGTATAGTATACTCTGTATAGTATACTCTGTATAGTATACTCTGTATAGTATACTCTGGAGTGGAGCTGGCATGTTTATGTGGTTTTACGGAGAATACACATGTATTGTGCTTGAGTCTATGGAATATAACATGATACTGGGGGAGTGTATATGCTTTGGTTTTAAGCCTGGAACACTAAGCCGATTTCTGGCCGTCAAAAGCTATTGGGCCATTGGTGTATGTAGCACAGTTGGACACGATTGGTGCTTGTTGGTGCCGTTTTTGCCAACTGAGCATCATGAAATGCCATCAAAGTTAAGTCAATGAGCTCTCTGATTGGGCTGTTCAGCACAGCCAAATAGGGGATGTGAAGTGAAACGCAAGCGGAACTGCCTGGAACCACAGAGGAGCTGAAACCAGAACAAAATGGCCATTTGGAATGAGGAACATGAGGAGGAGTTAATTACTATAAATCAAGAGAATCCAGCTTTGTATTACATCACAGAGAAACTCTACAGATACTTGGGCAAAACCAGTATTCCAAATGAGGATGGCGTAGAAAGAAAAACAGGAAACCACAGTGGCGTGATTTCTGCTACCTTGTGGTGTAGATCATCATTTTTCACGCAGGCGCAGAATGAACGTGCATGTGAACTGTTAGCTCTAGTCATACAGATGTGTTCCATTGCAAAATTTTCACAGATGAGAGGGGATGGTAGCAGATCATGTGTGAGACTTGGCTGGCAACAGTGTTTTTGCTGTTGGCTTGGTGTGTAACCAGCTTTAGGGACAAATATACATGCCTTTAATGTTGTGTGGTAGAGTACCTTATAAACTGAAGCATCCAACCCTGATTAAAGTGCATTTTAATGGGGAGACAAATTGAGGACACGTCTGCAGTCATATGTCACCTGAATAACTGAGAATAACTGTGACGAGGAAGATGAGAGAATATGGCCACAGTCCTGCACCCAAGTTAAAAACACACCTGAAACCTGAACATCTGTAACAATTAAAAATACAAAATTAGAGTATATTAAAAGTTTCAAAGTTCATACTATTAAAAAAAAAGTCACTGAACAATAACTCAAATACATTAAGCACCAGTTTCAGTTACATAAAGGATTCTAGATTTAGGAGTGATTTCTAAACTCTGAGAATGAGAACTTAAAGGACACAAACCGAATACGTAGGACTTGGCACTGATTTCTCATTAATGCCAATTTCCTCAGATGCCACATGGCAACGTGTTATGTACTAAATACTAATCCAAGTATGTGCAAAAGAACATGGCAATCCTTATAAAAACACAACATACCAACTTGAATTACTGGTATAATTGTCTACCTAATTACACTGGATATATATGTAAAAGACAAGTTGTTTTTGGTATCAAAGAACATAGGAAGCACCATAAAATTCACTCACACTGATTCATTTTGTAATTACTGCATTCAGTGCTTACTCTGTCAGAGAGGTTAATAACTTCCCAACATCTGTGATTTATTTTGGTCATAGTACTGTGCGTGCGAGAAGTATTTATCATACCGCAAAGACATTGTGCATTTCCTCTGGTGTGAGCACGGGCCCATTCAGCACACGTGGCTACATGCTGTAGATATTATATGTTCTCCAGGAGAGGAGCCCTTTCATCTGGTTTTGTCATTACTGGAGATCTGCGATACTTCAAGAACTGCACAGTGATCTGAGGGTTCAGTCAAGGGCATCATGGGCATCAGGGGTTACAGTCACCTGCTCCACAAGCTGTACAGTAAGTGCATGCATTGGAGACAATCAATGAAGAAGTTACGACTACCGCTATCATTATTGCTAAGCTTATACTAAATGAAGGAGATTTTACTACCCACTTATATTTCATAATACAGGTCTGTGAAATGGGCAGACAGGAACAGGTGCATATTTAAAATACTGTATCCGGTGAGAGGACTATAGTAAAGCCTCCTGAGTATCTACATGTCGGCCAAGATGTACCCAGGTGAGAAAAGGATACGACCAGGTCAAGGAAGAGAGTTCCCAGGCTGCCAATGAGCCAGGGCAGATGGTGGACCATATAGCTAGCCTCGCCCTCCCCACGGCTACGATCGGGGTTCTTCAGCAGCACGCTCAGTCCATATGTAGTGTTTCCCAGGATGACCAGAGCAAACAGGAAGTAGGACACCCCCTCCGTTGACTTCCTGATAAACTACAGCCATAGAGAAGAAACAAACGAGAAGCAGCAGAGCAAGAATGAAGACTTACCCTGAAACATACCTTCACTACCCCCCCCTCCCATCCATCCACCATCCCAGGTAAATGACTCACGTTGGTGACAATCTGTGGAATTCTCGAAGACAGGTACAGCAATGACGACACTGAGCCAACTGTAAAGCCAATGATCTCCTTGGTGCTGAAGGGCTGAGAAGAAGCAGAAGATTTAGAAGACTCTCCAGACTCTAACCCTTAAAGCCTCCCATGTGTTATATTTAAAAAAAAGCTGGCAAACATGCATATTAACCTTTATGGAGCTGCTGTCTTCATGAACAAACAGCAGGGATCGACCTTTGAACCCTTGTTGTACAACGTCAACCTGTGGGCTGACTACTGGGAGAGAGAAGGCAGAGACTCCAGCCAGGCTGAGGACCCCCACAGCATTCAGCAGGAGCCTGTCTGAATCACATGGAATAATGACAGGGTATGAAGGACAAACTTACACAGCGTCATTGCACAACACTAGGCAAGCAAGGTCTGTTAGAGAGGCCCTGTTTACACTTGGCTTTAAAATGCGTCTCGGGTGACTGGATCACAGGTAGACTGCAGAGTCACGTCGCCATTTTCATCTGTGTCTTTCATATGTCTCCAGGATGACCATTTGTGTTTAGATTTCCAGCATTAGTGGTTACACTACAAAAGATGGTCTGGGGCACATTTAACCACACATCTCAGCAAGTGGTTCGAGCGATCGGACCACAGTGCGTCTTGCTCATTTACACTCGCCCAAAACACATTTTAAAACCAAGTGTAAACAGGGCCAGTAATGCATAAAACTACATGCAGCAACAATCAAACCGCAAACACTCAAGAATATTGTTTAGGATCTATTTCTGCAACTGAGTGAAAGAGCATCACCAATACGGATAATGACTGAGTGTGACAGAGGATATAGTCTCTGAAGAGATCAAGCTTTGGATCGTATGTGTTACAAATGTGCCAGTAATGTACATCATTACAGGTCCTGCTCTTTTTGAGCTGCAGTTCAAAAGAACCAAGAAAGCATTATATTAAAGTCCCACATCCAAGACAAGAGAGGGAGGAGACACACTTACAGAAGACAGTACCTAACAAATCTACAGATGGCCACGTGAATTCAGCCTTTTACAAAAAATACTCTGATTTTTTTTTAAGTAACAATGGAAACAACTCCTTGTTTTTCTTTGATACACAGAGTATCATTTTCCTCAAATATTAAAGGAGAGGTAACCGTGCACTGTCATATTTTGCATATTAACAAACAGGCAAAAAAGGTAGAGAAATATTACTTTAGAACTGCACACACACACAGCAAATACAATTACAAAAAAGCAAGGCTTGCAGAAAGTCTTCAGTCACCTGTCTTATTTGGGAAAGACTCAAGAAGTATCACTGAAAACAGACTCACTGCTAAATCCAGAATTCTTTGCCTTAAAATAACTGTACATGGCCAGTGTTGTCAGGTCAGCCATCACATAGTACACTGCAGTGTAGCACTGTGAAAGGGTGTGGGAGGGGGTTCATAGGGAGAAGAAACAAAAAAATCAGAGGGTTAGGTTTCAAAACTAAAATAATCAATTAAATTTTACATTTATAATGTACATTTTTATGTGCTTGCTGATAAAACTGACGTTTACATGTGAGTAAATTTAAATGCTGCCAAAACTAAATGGAAACTCCACTTTACTCTAGATAGGGGTGGCCAATCTTATCCGCAAAGGTTCGGTCTGTATGCGGGTTTTCGCTGCAACTCCCTAATTAGATTACTAATTAGAGGACTGATTGGCTGAAGAGTCCTCACACCTGGGTTTGAACAGCTGACCTACAGGTTATCCCAAATACCTGCATACATACCGGCCCTTTGTGGATAAGATTGGCCACCCCTACTGTAGATCATGGGCCACCTAAATCAGCACCTACCTGAAGTGGCAGTTGATTGGCTAGAAAGGAGCCAATTAGGTTGCAGCTATCCCCAGCTAGCCACAACAGAAGGAACCAGACAGACAGGGCACTATCCATATTCCCAGTGCGATATGATTTGTAGCACTGCCTACGGTGGGAGAATTAATACAGTTCACTTTCATGGGGGTAGTGCATGGTCTTACACAACACTTGGGGAAGCTACCAAGCTTCAGATTATAGTGACCTTTATTTCTCTGGTACTTGTTGAAGATGCCTATTGCTGTTCTTTCCAGGTATTAGTTTGTAACACTGTGTTCTTGATGTTTGAATTTAAGGTAACTCACGCCTCTCATTAAATCTGAAATGACTTGTGAGGGAGACTCATCTGAATGAGAATTGTGTAGTAAAGTGTAACAAATGCAGATTTTTTTAAAACTAATTTTCCTAAATGAATTTGCCTCGTCTTTTAGTACTGAGGTTACAAGTGGTCTGAAATGAGTCTAAGATACACTACAAATAAACTGTGGTAAAAGGTCACGTAGCTTGTTCCTGACAATCTGGACATGGAATACTCACGGCCCAAGAGACGCCATGAAGCACACAATGGACAGTAGGCCCAGGGAGACGCTAGCCATGTCGCGAGCATCTTGAGCACATTCCCCAAGTCCGACCCACACCCACACCGAACCATTTGGACAGTAAAAGCTCATGTTCCTGTCATCCCTCATTGCCAAGGTACCTTGTAGAAGGACCTCATCCAACCCCATCTTCGCTACCTAAGGGGGAAAAAAAAATCAATGTTGCATCTTTATGCAACTGATACAGTTCTTTATACAAAAGCATCCTCTGTAAATTTAGCTATGCACACTCTACAGATAGCTTTCCATTCTTTACATGTATCTGAGAAATTTAGAATTGTTTTTTTTTTTTTTTATGATTTTCACTCACTCCTGTATTTCACTTGACAAATATCTGATTTAAATATTAGATGGGAGATAAAGAAAGTAACCCTGCATATATTAAGTATTTTAGAATCAGAATTGATTAAAGGCGGACGTATAGTGTTAATACTGATAATCATTAAAAAACAAAGAAACAAACAAAAAAAACATCAGACCAAAGATTGCTTTTATTTTCATTCAAAAAGCTGGTACAGATTTCTTTTCGTCAGTTTTGGATTGCGTAATGCTATTTATAAGAATGCATCATCATCTCTTTTGAGAAAACACTGCGCTATGTAACTGGTCTGGGATCTCGCACACGTCATTGTGATTTATGACATTTTAAAAGGGTCATCTCTCCACTTAAGAAAAACTCATACAACCATTTTTATTGCAACAAGTTTACTGGAGAAACTACCACTGCATTCAAGATATTTTGTCATGATACCAGATCTTCAGAAATGTCTGTTCTAAACTGAATAAAGCAACCTTCTCATTCTGTGTTAATTATGCTTGGAATGAATTACAAAATCCTTAGCGTTCATTTAATAATTTTTAAAGTATGCTAGAATGTGTCTTGACTGAACGGTGTTATCGTTTTAAATTCTGCAGCTATGAAGATGTACATTTTTTACGCAATCGTGTCGTCGCGTCTGTTTTATCTCCTAAATGTCATGTTGCGCCTGCTACCATCTTGACCTACTCTACCTGTAAGAACAAAAACTGGGACCTTCCTGGCTAAATAGATGATAAACTCAAAAAACATGTTAATCAATGAATATTGTTAAGGTTGACAAATGTTAATTCCAACTTCTTCACAATGAAAAAATCAATACAAAAGGTTTTACAGGAGGCACAACCCAAAACAGAAGTGTAGCTTCTGCCATCGAAAGCGAAGAGATAATCTTACCTCACCACCGTGTTGCTAAATTGATAGATAAAAACGATGTATTTAAACGAGGTATTCGATTTATGTTAAACACATATTAAAATTGATTTGAACACTAGCACCGTACTGAAGGAGAAGTGGGCAGTCCTTCCGCGTTCTTATTGGAAACAACAACCTGTGTTTTTGACACAAGCCGAGGCCGATTCACACGGTTCCCACCGCCACAACAACAAGGCCGGCCAAGAGGAACAAGCTACCGAATAACCGTCTAAGCCGGTGGCCGGTTACACAGTTAGAAAATGAATTACTCCTCCTTTCTGAAATTCTCGCATCACTGCGGAACAGGGTTATTGGCTCATGAATCTGGTACCCGGAATTATAAAACTACAAACTAATATCGCATTAAAAACTGACCGGAAGCTCAAATCTACGGCGGCCTCAAAGTGCAAAACATAGAAATTGACGTTCTTTTAGTTCACAATCGTTTGCAGTTCGTTTAGGGCACCTAAATCCAATCTACTGGGATGAATTAAAACGTTGGATTTAATTAGGCGGTTAGCCTACACTTTGGGTTTGGAACTAAATATAACGTTAGCTGTGAGTTTCGTTGATTGAAGCTACATTTGTTCAGGGGTAACAGATATGGACTACGACGGAGAAGTGCCAGCGGCACAGACTTAATGTGACTGCGATCGATGGCAGCAACAAATGAATGAAATTGCTAGCAAAAAATAATGGATTTTTATTTAATTACCCCGACAATCGGAGTTCTGAACACAAAACATATAAAAATGTTTATTATATCTTTATATTCTTGCGTTTTTCTCAAGGAAGTGTTTTGTACTTCTGGGCCACCGTACGAAATCTCAGCGTACGCATGAGCAAAAAACAAAGCAACAAGACATCAAGTCAACATCCCTGGAGCAACTGGAGGCTAAGCGACGGCATCAGTCCCTGCCGGCCCTTGAATTCGAACAGGCGGCCTTCCGATCACGGGCACATGACGGTGATTCACACCGCGTCATGAGTAGAGCAGTATGGGGGAAAACATTACAAAGCTAGTTACTGAATCCGTCGTGTATATATATGTATAAAAATCGCCGACGTACCTCGTAAGGTGCTTCACACGCTCCGCATTGTATGACGGCGAAGCGACTGGCCGAAGTTGTTTTGATTAGGGTGATCCTAACGGCCTTTCTTTTGGGACCTAAATGCCAGAAATGGCCCGGATTTCGCTTTGTTTCATGCTGACCTATGCCTTCTTTAGTAAGAACACTTTGTGTGCATATTTCCGTTGATTTGACGCCTCTCTTTGCGTACTGACCCCGGTATCACCTTTCTTGCAAATCAAAATATGGTCATCGTAGTTTTTAAAATTACACGAACGCGAAGCTCGTCTTCTATCTTCTGCTGACAAACACGTTACGAAATGCCTGAAGAACGTCATACAATTACATTATCATTACAAGCAGCAAGTCGTTCTTAACATTCATGTCGTAATGTTTTGAATTCCTCTGTACCTGAGCTTTTACAAACGGCAAATAAAGCATCACCAAAAACAAACGAGTGTCAATTTTAGTGATAAAGTACACAAAACATGATATATAAAACCGCATTAGAATCTTGTATGTATTCACGCTTTAGGTACGTCAAAATTACTCACTCAACGCAATATTCTCGTTGACAACTCAGCCACTTGTATAGAGACTACTTCACAGCAATCGTAGGCAAACTTTATGTATATTCAAGCATGCAACACCAACTCACCTTTTAACTAACACTCTCCCTCAACACTCCCCAGCCGCCCTTATTTCTGGCGAACCGAATCGACCGGCTTGCGGCTCCACATGACACTTCCGTGAAGTCAGCTGACTGTGGTCACCTGACTACTCAGCACATATCGCCACTTTAGTGTTCGTTAAATTAAGCGATTCATTAAAACACTAAAAGCTTGGAATTCAGGATTTAGTTACCAATACTACTATCGACTATGAATGTCCATTTCAGTTTTTGTGTTTCAGAACACTTAAGTGACCACGGTCCCCTTTCTCTTGTACGAAACCAAGTCTCTTGTTCGACAAGGGAAATAAGGGGTTTTCACTACTCTTAATGCCGGTATTCTAGATCATTATGGTGTTTCTGAACAACCACTTAAGTTTCATATCATTTTCACAATCAAGCCTTGAGTAATGCTATTTACAGTAACTGTTTGAAGAACAATGTTTATTGAAATGAATGTCCAAACAATGTGATTACTTTCCACTGCAACCACTAGCTTTCTGTTTGTACTCATATACAGAAAAAAATAATAGAACACACAAAGGAATACCTGGTAGGTAATTTGTTTTAAATTTTATAGTACATTGAAGAACTGGAAGATGAGTTTCAGATATTTTATAAAGCATAGTTCACAACAGATTTACAAACATTATCATACCTGATAAAAAAGAACATATTAATTTAACTAGCCAAAAACATAACTTTTAAATCTGTACAAGCAGTATCTTGTATAACATCCATAGATTTCCTCAGAAGAGGAAACACAATCTTTCCCAGTAAGCAATCAAAAGTCAATTGCTGCCACAAATTCATTACTTTTTCACATCCTGATTTACTGGAATTTATAACACGGTATATAAAAAAATCTGTCAAACAGATCAATACACTGTCAGAGCTCCCTTCTCAGTCTGACAGTGAGGAGGGTTGTGTTAAGCTTTCTCTTCAGGATCTCTCAGCTGGGACATGGCACACTTCATTTAATGTGCATTGGCTTCTCATTAGGCTTTAATCTCTTGCGTTTCGGCTGGACAAAGTCATCATCTGAGTCCTCTGTGACGTCCTCGTCCTCCTCTGGGGGGCGCTGCTCACCTTCTGGCATCAGGGGGAAAGTGCGGTCGGGGAAGAGCTCCTTCAGCTTCTCCTCGAAGTGCAGGCTCACAGTTTTCCCTGCCTCTGCCACCTCAGAGTCTGCCTGTAAGGGGGGGGGGGGGGGGAAGGGGAGGTGGCGCAGGGAAAAAAAAAATAAGGGAGGAAGACACCATTGAGTGGATTAACAATATAAGGGTTTGTGGTGAGTCCAGTAAAACCCTTCACATCCATGGTGTATCAGAAAGGGCTTACCTGGACATTAATCTGTTTCTCCTCATCATAAACTTGGATTATTCGAGACATCTAAAAAGGGCGATAATAGTACAATAAAGACAAAAAAAAATTCAACAAAAAAAAGAGGAAGAAAATTTACACGCAGATGTAGAGAGGAAACAAAGCCATACAGGTCTCCAAGAAGGATCACTATTATCTTGAATTTGCTCAGTTGTTTGTCCAGAAACCAGCTAATGGGTTAACTTGCCATATCATTACACTATGGATGACTGTAGCGCCAATGATGTATAGATTGACAAACTTTCGAACACTGAACCACAACAAAAATGTATTTATCAAAATTTCTCTATCAATATTTTAATAAATAAGTTACATTATGTTAATACGTAAAATAAAAAATGTTATACTACAGTAAACTTTTGTTGTAAAAATTTTAGGAAACATTTTCAGCTGAATCTCAGTTCATTAAAAAAAAAAATTCATTTCCATGCACGTAACTGTATGGTGATGATTTATAAGTTAGATATACAGCAAACATTGCTAACAACATTCATCCTACAGCATCAATGTGAACCATAACCAGATTTCCACGTGACCACTGTGTCCAATAAAAAACCTACTGAACTCCTCCATAAAACTTGCAATAACATGCTAATGAGAAAAATGTATTCCACATGGGTTTCTGCAATGTATACATTCAGCCATATAGCCTTTGGTTTAAAACCATTGTGTCTTTCCTAATCTACATGAGTATAATATGTAATCACTTGCCAAAGGTTTTAGAAAAGTTCTTTATGTGGAAAGATGGCTAAATGTGTTACAATAAATGTGTTACAAAAGCAGTCAAACCCCAAGACATACAATGCTCATATGTTTGAAAAATAGATTAAAAAAAATCTCTGCCTTTAGTGGACATATGAGACAAGACAACAGTTTGCCTTCAACCCTACCAAGAAAAATCATGCTAATTTGTTTGATGGGGTCAAATAAATGGAATCAGTATCTAGTGATGTAGCAGGCACCACATGAGACAAGAGGAAGACAGAAAAACAATGTCTTGTAGGTATTGTATTTGGACTTGGAAGGTGGCCAACAAACTTGCCATTTAACCCAAAACAGTCCATGGTGGATTCCAATGAGCTTCGCTAAAATAGAATGACTGCAGGTTTCAGCTTGCTGATGGCAAAACCCACTTCTTGTTTTGTTGAGCTAATAGTCAAAAGTTGGGTGGTATAAAAGAAAACTGCTTATTAAAGACAAGGCAGACTCACAGTAATCCGAATATTAAGGGACCCAAATAAACTTATATCAGTGAAATAATTCTTACAGTTGTGAAAAAGCACATAAGGATATCTTTATTTAAGAAATGGTTTGAACAAAAGTCACAATTTTGGTTGCCTGGTCTTCACAACAGAATTCTGCTCAATTGCAATATAGCCCAATCAAAAAGGACCTCAGAAAAAGCTTTGGGAGTTCATAATGATAGAGCAACAAAAGCATTTCTAAAGAAATAGAAATTCAGCACTGTTGCTGCTCTCCCTAGGAGTGAGTGTCCTACAAAGATTACTGCAAAGATCACTGCAGAATCAAAGTGACAAAGAACACTAAGGGTGTAGAGTTGCTTTTCCGCCTCAGGAAAAGCTGTATCAGGAAATTCTACAGCAGACTAAAGTCAGACTGTCTGACTTATCTAAAGCTCAAAAGTAGTTTAGTCATGGAATGTTACAATGTTACAATGATCCAAAATACAGGACCAAATCAATAACAGTGGGTACAACAGAAGAAATTTCACGTTTTCGAATAGCCACCACATGGTCAGAAAGTCAGGCTTCTAAGCATACACATAAACAGATGTATTTACCTTTTTTTTTTTATAAAAGAGTGAGCCAAAATAGCTCCTAACTGTTGTGTATGTCTGATCAGCAGATACAAAAAGATTGTGTTTGAGATTGACCCAGAATGACAAATCAGACTGCTGATACTATCAGCAGATATGAGCTAGTTGCAGGTAAATTGGTATTGGTGTTTACAGCAACCAATAAATAAGAATTAGAAAGAAATGGAGAGGCTGAAGACTGACCCTTCAATCATGTTATGCGTGTTGTTGTGTGTCGGCAACATACATTATACATTTCACTCTATCAAAACTTTAATATAAAGAACGTCGAACTTAAGGACAACTCATACTTACAAATGGACTGCTATGAAGCCTATTATACTAAAAATCTGAGTGACATACAATGGTTTGTAATTAACGCTCACACTACTTTGAGGCTCATGGAAAAATCGTGCCGCTTCAGTGATTCATCGGCTCATGGTAAAATACAGTACCATAAGTATTTTTATTATTACCATTATTACTATTATTATTATTATTAGTAGTAGTAGTAGTACTACTACTACTACTACTACTACTACTACTACTACTACTACTACAACAATGCACAGCATTACTATTGTTCCAACTTACCTACAAATTAGACTTAAAAACAGACTAAGGGAACGGATCTCATTTGTAACCTAAGGACTGCCTGTATTTTGCTGTACTTTTGTTCAAAGTACTATTTATGACAACAAAAGTTTCTTTTTACACTGCATTATATTATGTTGGTGAATATTTAAAATAACTACACATAACAAATGTTAGGGAAAATCTTTAAGTTACGTGTCAGGCTGTATTTCAGGTTGCTACAGAGGTTCCACTAAAGTAAAGGTTCACGTTTCTTTTATCAATAAAATGGTTTAAGCCATTTCTTTCATGAAGATAAGGGGTATGATACAATATAATCCACTCACAATTTGGTTCAATGAACGATTCAGGGCTCACAGTTCAAAAAACTTATAAAATATTCTATATAACTAAATAAGTCTGAAAAACTATGAAGGCTGTTTTCAAATTATTTTTTTCTTCTTTTATTCTGCAGTGCAAAATGTAAAAATAAAAGCTCAAAGCAAAACTGAAATTATGCCTATTGCGCCCTCTTGAGTTAACATCGATAAATGATTTCATGCCATGGCTCATTGTTACACCCCTACAATGCGTATTGTCATATTTTTTTAATCATGAAATATTGTGCCATGATGAACTGTTACACCCCTAAATCCAGATAATTCTGAAAGGGTTCAAAAACCTTTCACAACTGTCATTCCTGAATATCAGTCAACAATTCAACTCCTCCCTTCAAAAGAACAACATTATTACTGTAGGAGACCTGACCTGAATCACTATCAAGAGGATCATTCAAGTCAAATAGCAAAACTCTAAAATAAAAAATATGAAAACATAGGTCTGGTAAACAATTTCAGAACTGGGGGAAAAAAAACTATAATACAAAGAAATTGGTCAGGCTGTGAATCTCACATGACACTATATAAAATCAGATCTTGCCATTAGGTTTTTGCTGCTGTTAAAGGAAAGCTGAAAAACGTTATAACACAGAATTGTGTGCATTCAGCGCTGCTCTATCAAGATGGTGTAATGGTGCAGTAAACGTGTGTGTGTGTGTGTGTGTGTATATGTGTGTGAAAGCAGGCAGAAGCACAAGGCAGACAGACTAGGCAGACATGACATGAAGGCATTTCCTGTTACTGCTGTGTGCTGTGAGTTTGAGCGAATCTGCGAACTGGCAGTATAAACTCGTCATGCCCTGATGACTGGGCACTGCTAACCCCATTCAGCCTCCCCAGACCCTCTAACGGCTGCCAGGTCTCCACATATCTTGCACATGCACCAAGCATGCCTGCATGGATGCACCTCCCCAAGCAGACCCTCACACACATGCCACTCACCTCATTGTATTTGGCACAGTTGCTGAAGACCAGTCTGACATCAGACACGAACTCCAGCGGCGTGCGGTAGTGTTGGGAGTCCTGCAGCTGCTGCAGCTTTTGCTTCACTGTGTTCAGGTCCATGGGCTGCTTGATGATCTTATAATAGTTGGGCACCTTGGGGGGGGGGGGGATCGGCAGACATACATTGGGGCACAGCCACAAGGAGCAACATGCTGTGATGACATTGATGCCAGAGACCTACAGTGGGTCCAGCACTAAGATGTTATGATGGTACTCACAGAAGAGGAAACAGGCTCCTGGAACTCCACGCTCAACTCATGGCAGAAGATGTATAGCAGGAGGCGTTGACACCTCTATCATGAGTCAGAAAAAGAGGCAGAACAGACCAACAGAATGAGGAGATACAAAGTTTACACACGATTTTTTTAACCAATCTACGGTCATAACTTTTAAAATGTCAATCACTCAAAAAGCTGCAATCAAAACCTGCATCCTTTTCTAACCCACATCTTTTGGAGACTGGAAGAGAGCATCACTAACACAGGAAGAAAGTCCTCCTCAAGCCAGGAGATGAGGTCACAGTGTTATGACGAAAGCCTTTCAAAGGCCTAGCATAAAGACTTTTAGTGCATTGTTAAGCATTCAAGTAGTATTTGTTTCATTTTAAAAATAGAATATCAAGCTGTATATCAAACCAAACATACTTATACCTTTATCAAACTTACATAAAGTCATAATTTCTGAAATGGAGACCTGAACGACTGCCTTACCAAGATCATTCAGCGATGAATTAAAGTGTCACTAAGTCTGGACCATACAGTCGGGTACACTAGTTATCCAGCTGTGAAGTATATAACTGCTATCTGAAATATGAATTCTGGTGCACAAGGGAAATCTATAGTGGAAAATGTAGTACAGCCCTTCGCATCTTATTCGACATATTTGGACATTTCCATTTCAACAATGCTGATAAGTAAAGGTGATCTGATGGAAAAAAAAACAATTGGAATAATTTCATAACAGTTCATTATAAAATGATCCCCAATGGCTGATGCCAACTCATATAGCAGAAAGAATGACCTGGCCTTGACAGACAGCCACTGGACTGAAACGTTTGTATATGAATTTGTGAACAACCTTTTGGACAATGGAATGATTGGTTAGAACTAGCTTTAGAAACTTTTCCCAGACTTCTAGGTACTAGAAATATGCTTTGAAGGACATCCGAGTTAATCTCTAATGAGGTTCTTATTTGCACCTACCCTGGTGCACGATTCAAGTTTTGTTTTACGCAATAATTAAGGTGGGATGTACTTTTCCTGAACAAGGAAACTGTATCTAATTCGTCAAATAGCATCCCTTCATTTACCAATATTGGGGCTCGTTAACCAGTATAATCCATAGGTGTTTTCTTAAATTTCCTCTTGAGAATGTTCTAAGAAGGTCCTAAGAAAAGTCTGAGAGACTGATGACGTGTTATTGTACCTCAAAGGGGAGGACTAATAATTATCACTGTCTGTTGGTGGGAACTACATTCACAACACTTACGTAAACACGGACTGACAGCGTAATGTGGCTAATGACTTCTGAATTGTACTAATCAGACATAAGTTTAAGTCCCCCCCATATGTCTGCCTGGGTATTTAAGCATCAAACTGACATTCCAAAACGGTATAAATGCCGTGAGAATTTAGGCAGACATGCCACATGATGTGTGCAGATACACTCACCCGCTGGTCCTCGGGACTCAGCCCCTGATCACTGCTGTCTTTCTGCTTCTCCCCGTCACAGTCGTACACGACCTCAGGAGCCGTCAGACTGCGGCAGAAGGTGCACAGCCAATCACCGCTAGGAGAGACCCAAGAAGAGAGACTGAAACAACAGTAACCGTGTCTGTGGCTACATTACAGCACTCCAGCCAAAGGTACCCAGGCCTTTATGGATAATTCTAAAGGAAATACAGATACACACCAAAACATGACAACAAAAAGGCATGTTTGAAATTCTGATCTTTTCTTACACATTTTACCATAAATAAATGTAACCCTGACAAGAGGTGTGTGTGTGCGGGTTCATACAATGGGCTCACCTTGGGGAACAGCTTAGTGTGGGGATGTGGCAGGTGATGTGGAAGACCTTTGGGCACTTATCACAGCAGAGCAGCTCGCCCCCATTCTGACACACAGCACACCAGTCCTCATTGGGATCGTCGTCCTTCCCAGCCGGGTCCTTGTGGCTGTTCCCCTGTGCCCCACTAGTGCTGCGTGCAGAGCACGTGATTGGGGGGGAGCCCAGACTACATGCTTCCCCTGACTCTGCGTCTCCATTGGTCAGTTTGGGTATGGCGGGATGAGTGTTCTCCTCAGGCGGGGGCTCAGCCGTCGCCGCCGATGCTGAGGCCGATGCTGAGGCCGATGCTGAGGCCGATGCTGAGGCCGATGCTGAAGCCGATGCCTGTGCCTTGGTCTGTATCCCTTTAGTTGACGGCTCGCCCCCCGTCCTGCTACAGGCCCCGCCTTCTTCTTCATCCCGTGGTTCCGCCTTCACATTCTCCCCGAGCGTCTTCAGTACATCCTGCACGGAGCCGGTGGACACAGCTCCCAGCACCGGAAGGGGCGGAGTCAGACTGCTTTCGGGGCTGCTCATCTGGAAGGGGGAGCAGACAACCGGGCCATTTGGTCTTGACAGTGGAACAGTCATAACATAAGATTTCACTGGAGGAAACATAGTGGGGGCCACAAACAGGAAGTGGGGGGGCATTACCATGCAGGCGCTCCTCGCCCCATCTTTGCTGCGCTCCACCTTAACAGCCGGCCCCTGGAAACCACAATCCTCTTCCACTCCAGGTTCCTGTTTGACCTTCACCTGCTCCACGGCCACACCCATCTGGGCAACCCTTCCCGCAGAGCCGCAGCTGTGGAGCGGCAGAGACCTGTGAGGGCCTTCACACCCACCTCTCCATGCCAATCAACCCACCAATATGTCCCAGGCACCTACCTGCCCCTGCTCCCTGTGCTCGACGTGCTGGACGGCCGAACTGGCGTGTGGGAGTTAGACAGACCTGAGGCCAAGAAAGAAATTAAAATGCTGAGGAGAATTGTCTTCCAAAAGCAGTATGACATGAGGAAACCGTCTGATATGAAATAAAGGGAGCCTTTTGGACAGTGTGGATTCTGGCCGACTATCCCAGCCTCTGCCTAAATGGTGGCTAATGAGCTCCTCTCACTGCATACCTCAAACACAACGTAGCTTACATGCAGTACAGATACAGCAGTTAGACCACAAGAAAAAAGGTGGAAAATGTTTATAATAAAAAAAAAAAAAAACACACGTATCTACGAAATTCCATCGCTGACAAACAGTAGACAGATAAAAGACATCTGTCCTGTAATTAAATCCATTTCAGGGAGGAGATTTTGAGGTGGGACAGGATTTGTAAAATGCCATTTCAATCAAAAGGACCAGGATTTCACTTAAGCACTGAGTTCTTGCTGTGTGTCTCCTACAATCATGCACGTGTCGCTAATGTTAATGTGAGAAGGCTGGATGCGTCTTTCAATCAAGGCAAAACCCAGTCAAAGCACAAGAAGATCTGGACTATTTATCATAGGAGGCTTTCAGGTTTAAAGTAGTGTGTGAAACCTGAAGAAGCTCAAAGTCTCCTACCTGACATGGACCGTCTGGTTACCCTAAACTAAATACATGCAAGTCTATGCATGGATGCGAGGAACACTGCACATTTGGAAGCATGCCTCGCAGTATCATACACACCCTTATACGTCATACCTGAAGACCCAGGTGAGTGTGTGGAGGGCCCGGGGGAGGGGTTCATGCTGGCCGCCGGACCGAGGGGGGGGTGCGTGCTGGCAGATATGTAGCGGCTCAGCAAGTTGTCCAAAGTGCTGGAGCCAGCGTCTTCCAGCTGTGGTTACAGGGGCCGTTACCATGGAAACACACGTCCACTGACCTATGCCTTATTTCCCATTTGTATCTTCTACTTAACTATATAAATGTAACTACAAGTACGCAAACAAAATTATCACCAAAAGACTCCAGAGGTCTCAAAGATATCCATTAGGAATGGATTAGCAGTCAGATACTAGTTAAATATAAGCAATTTTCATTTTATTTCAATGAATAATCATTAAGCACCAACTTTCTACACACCTGTATGGGGGGGATGTCAGGGAGGCAGGGCAGGTTCTCAGGGTTGGTGACTGAGGGGATGAGTTCAATGGTGCCCACCAGTGGGCTGGTGGGACCGCGGTGTGTGAGACCACCTGCCATGCTCCCACTGGTGGGGCTGGTGGGGTTGGCCACACTGGCATTGTGCAGTGAAGCCACTGGGAAGGGCCCTGCGTGACCTGGGTTTGAGTGCTGAAGCAAGCAAAAACAGTCAAGTCTCACTTGGACGTAGAGCCTTTCAAATGTCAAAAGTTACAGGTATAAGCCAATCCATTGGTCAGGCGTTGCCAGATTTGGAGAGCAACAGTAACATAAAACTGAAAAGACATTTATTAACTGTTCAAAAGTGTACATCATGGTTTACTATATGCTAATTTCTGCTGTGGGGGTGTGTAATTGTGGGCATTAGTAAATGTTTGTATAGTACTGAAAAACTGGCATTCAGACAAATGTTTACGCTCATCATATAAAGTCTTGGTGATTATTGCGTGTGCACAACATGATCGCGATTATAACATGACAGCCCTAATCACCATCTTATGTTAGCATCAAACGCTAGCAGAAGTAGTATTCGCTTGCGTAAAATTGCATTACGAATCCATTCCGTTCAGCTGTTCTATCGTACTTTAGGTGGTTGGAAATTTTCAGTTATCGGGAATGCATCAATACATCCCAATACACTGGGTACGGCTTGGTTCTTGTGTGCATTTCCACTGCCACCAAGTTGGATACTTTGCTCAAAGGCTAAACTGGTTATCCTCCTGGGATGTGAACCTCAATTGCTGGGTAAACAGTTTAATGATCTAGCTGCTCTGCTCCCTGCTCTGCCGCAAGGACTCCAGGCTCTTCAGAAAAGCTGTACTGTGAGTGTGTGTCCAGCAGAGAGAAATGACATGAACTGATAACTGATAACATTTGACACAATATAAATGTCACACTGCTGGCAGATTATAAATCATATCAGATAAACATTTCTGCAAGCAATTATAATACAGATACGATATCCCAAGAGAGACGCTACTTTTATACTTGATGAAGGTCTCATTCAGTTTTTAGATTCCAAACACCCTGTAACTTTGTCTATTGTGTGTAAGAATAAATACATTTATATTCTGTATATGTTGCTTTAAAAGAACAATGATTGAAATGTAACAATTATGTAACACAATGGCTGATACAGTGTCACGAGTGATGTAATCGCAGCACTGGGCGCCCACCTGTCTCTGAAGCTGCGGCTGCATCATGGGGTACTGCTGTCCATTGTGGCGGGGGGGCTGGCCGGGCTGCATGCGGCCCTGACCAGGGCCTATGCGCAGGGAATGCGAGGGAAACATGTGCGACGAGCCATTTACACCCCCCCTCTGCAGTGACGGCATGCTGATAAGGCGAGGGGGCTGGAAGAGGTGAGAACGCAGTGCATCAGAGACACATTTAGTCATCTCAATTGGAGCGGACAGGAAATGTACAATATTACAGAAGAAGCAACACCAATGCAGTAACTGGAATATAGGGAGAGCATATATACCTGCTGCTGGACCATTTGAGGGCCGCCCTGCCTGGGGTGCTGTACCATCTGGGATGCAATGCGCATCTGCTGCTGGATCTGCTGCTGCTGGTGCTGATGCTGGTGTTGCTGCTGCTGCTGCTTTTGCGCATAAGCAGCCTGCTGCATGTGCTGCAGCCGCAGCTGGGCCAGGTTGATCTGCCCTGGGTGCTTGCCACCGTGCCCATGGCCTGGGGAGACCTGTCCTACGATCACATTGGGTGGGTGCACTGAGGGAGGCATCTTCTCAATCACTAGGTTACCTGAGGGCAGTGGGGGACAAAACAAACAAACAAACAAACATTACCTTGCATGCAAGCATCATTAAAGATGCTGAGAAGATCCACATGGGAATTCTTACCTGTTTGTGTCATCCTCACTGAACCCTTATATTTTTGCAAGTTCATGGTGAGGCCACAATTGATGGATATTCATATTTATATGCATACAAGTAGGTCTGAGTTCCACTATGTATGCGCATGTGTATAAGCAGACATGTCATGGTATCATACAAATATGACCAAATGTGGAAAGTTCCAGAAAGTACAACCAGTTTAGTACCCTGTGACTCTATACCCATTTGACTGAAAGAAAATCTTGGTCTGAATTTGCACTTTCTGAACCTGAGCTTTCCCACCTCTGCAAATCACTCACCAAAGCGATTCATTAAATTTAGAACACTTCAATTGGCACAATAAAAGCACCAAAAAAAACTATTCTCCTCTACTGCTGTACTGTTGAGAGCATTTTAACCTACTGAGGAACAGTATGGCATTCTAGGCGCATAGATGCCGATCTGAGAAATCAGTAACGGGTAGTAAAAACAATTTCCCCACGGGGATCAATAAAGTATTAATTATTATTATAATTATTATTATTATAAAATGGCAACACATCACTGGGGCAAAACTCCCAAACCTGGAATAAATCAAAGCCAATTGCTGCTACAAGAAGGTCCTCACCATCACCAAAGACCCACCCATCCCCAGATACAGCTTATTCATACGTCTATCATCAGGCAAACCCCACAGGTCCATCCATGGCCACCCAACAAGAACAGCTTTTACCCCACAGTTCTTGCCAAACTGTACTGGCTTCTGTATTGTTCTGGTCTCATATTTCTTGTACAATCAGGAGCCAACATTCTGAGGGGGTCACAATTCCATTAGGAGGGCCCCCCCCCCTCAAAAAAAAAAGAAAACAATGATGAAATTTTCTGTAATTTGAGAACTGGGGCTTTCTGTCATTTTGTTAATCAAAGCTGAAAATTTTCCTCTGCATCTTGAACTGGAGACACTAAACGGAATTCAGTGTTTTGCCAACTACTCATTTAACCTAAAAACTTTCAGCTCACGGTCATGATAGTCAGAGCTCTCCTTTAGTAATTAAATAGGATGCTATGCTATTACAAGTCGCGACTAGCTAGCAAGGCTAGACAACTGGACTGAGAGAAGACTGATAGCAGCCAAATCCAATTATGTATAAATAATTAAAATTTTCACACACATCTGAAAAAGGGATTGATGCTGCTGCTCTACCAGCTACTTCAACAAGTAGTCATGTGAAAAAATTACGACACCCCATTAAATATTTAGTTCTTTATTAAGAAATATCAACATACCAGTATTAAATCATCTTTCAAATTATATCTGTAGTTAAAGGTGATTAAATTGCATCATCTATGCAGAAACAAGAAACAAATTCACTTATTTATGAAAAGAAATTAACCAAGATGCTAATTTCCACTGAGGAAAAATCCTCACATTCATCACTATTTAAAATTCCTACAATTAGATTCAGGTGGCACCATATCAGGTGAAAATGATCAGAACATCGTTACAGAGCTTTTCAGTGGAGCCTGTCTTATTTAAACCACAGACATTCAGTTTGGTTTGCTCTTGATTGTTGAAATGAGTGGGATCACCATGGTGAGATCCAAAGGCCTTCAGAAAAAAGATTGTAGATGGATACGAGTCTGGGAAGGACATAAAGAGGTCTCAAGAGAGTGTGGAATCAGCCATTCCACTGTCCGGAAAATAATTTACAAGTGGAGAACATTTAAAACAACTGCCAGTATGGCCAGGGCAGGCCGTCCTAGCAAGTTCAGCCCTAGAGCAGACCGCAAGGTGCTGAAATAAGTCTCCAAAAATCCTAAAATGCCATCATGGATCATACAGGAAGCTCTTGCCACAGTTCATGTCAAGGTACAAGCATTTACCATCAGTAAGAGACGCACAAGTTTGATTTACATGGAAGGAAATGCATTGTGTCAAGCTTCTGGACAACACTGACATTTGCCAGAGACCCACCTAGACACAGACCGGGACTTCTGAAACTACGCGCTTTGGACAGATGAATCTGAAATTGAATTATTTTTTGGGCGCAGTAACAGAGGACATGTTTGGTGTAAACCAAGGACAGCTTTGAGCAAAAGAACCTCATACCAACTAGCATGGGGGTGGAAATGTCATGGTTTGGGGCTGCTTTGCTGTAGCAGAACCTGGCCAGCTCACCATCATAGAACCCACTATGAATTCATCATATCAGAGGGTGCTTGAGGACAATGTGAAAACATCTGTCCAGAAGGTGAAGCTGAAGTGGGGGTGGACCATGCAAATGACAATGACCCAAAACATTCCAGTAAATCTACCAAGGAATGGCTTACAAGACAGAAATGGAGAGTTCTGGAATGGTCAAGTCAAAGCCGTATCTGAATCCTATTGAGATGCTATGGGATGATTTGAAGTGGAAGTGCATGCAAGACACCCTTCAAACATCACTTAGCTTAAGGCAGGGATGCCCAAACAGTCCATTACGATCGACCAATCGATCACAGAGTAATTCTCAATCAATCGTGACGTGCATTGCAAGCGTCCGCCCATTTTTCAATGTGCAACTAATCGTGTTCTGTAAACATTTAGCACGCAAACATGTCAGAAGCCAAAAGGTCAAAATACGTATCATTTTCATTCAGAGTGGGAAGAGGGTTATTTTTTTGTTTACTCAAATTCGAAGTCCATATGTATTATATGCAATGCGAGCATGGCTTTACCGAAGAAGGGCAATTTTAGGCTGCATTTAAAAACGATGCACAAAAGCTACAAGCTAAAACAGCCATACGCAGCCGAAAAGTGCGAGAACTGAAAAGTCAGTTAGCAGTACAACAGTTAATTTTTACCCAACTGCATCTTCCCAGTGCCAGCGGTCCCACTAAGGTAGAGAAATACATTTATTTACACGTCTTCAGTTTGGAGAATTACCTGGATTTGCCGTGTGCATGTTAACTATGTAGAAAGGCAATAGCTAGAGTAATAATAGGAGTAACAGAGTAATAGCTATGGCTCCCTATTTGAACTGGTAGATCTCGGCACACTGGCCACTTGAAAAGTAGATCTTGAGTTAAAAAAGGTTGGGCTTAAGGAATTCTGCATTGGAGAGTTGGGAAAACTTCCTGCCAGTCGATGCCAGAGATTGATAGTTAGTTATAGGAAACGTCTCATTGAGGTTATTTCAGCCAAAGGGGGAAATACTAGCTATTAGGGCACAGGGTGTCATAGCTTTTTCCTCAGTAGGAATTGGTATCTTAGTTAATTTCCTTTGATAAATAAGTGAATTTGTTGTTTCTTGTTTTTGCATAGGTGATGCGTTTACATCACCTTTATCTACCGATATAATTTGAAAGAAGATTTAAATATTGATATTTTGATATTTATTAAAGAATTAAATATTTAATGGTGTTGTCCTAATTTTTTCACATGACTGAAGCTGTTAATCTCTTATTGCACTGATGCACAGCAGAGATCTGAGATCTGAGTGTGTGTGTAGCTAGTGTTGTGAAGTTTGGAAGAAACCAATACCACAGGGAAGGGGGGTGTGACTTTACCACTGTGTTGCATCACCTCTTCTTTTAACAACAATCTGTAAACGTTTGGGAACTGAGGAGAACGGTTGCTGGAGTTTTGAAAGTGAAATGTTGTCCCACTCTTGCCTGATACAGGATTTCAACTGCTCAACAGTTCGTGGTCTCTTTTGTCGTATTTTTCGCTTCATGATGCACCAAATGTTTTCGATGGGTGACAGGTCTGGACTGCAGGAAGGCCAGTCTAGCACCTGGACTCTTCTACTACAGAGCCATGCTGTTGTAATATACGCAGAATGCAGTTTGGAATTATCTTGCTGAAATATACAAGATTCTTTGAAAAAGACGTTGTCTGGATGGCAGCACATGTTGCTCGAAAACCTGTATATATATATATCATTCAGCATTCATGGTGCCTTCCCAGTTGTGCAAGCTACCCAAGCCATGGGCACTAATGCACCCCCATATCGTGACAGATACTGCCTCCAACATTGCTTTTTGGCCTTTTCCCCTTGAGTACAGAGATATTTCCAGATTCTGTGAATCTTTTGATGATGTTATGTACCATAGATGAAATTCCCAAACTCTGCAATATTACGCTGAGGAATATTATGATGCTTCAACCCGCAACACCTATTTCCACAACCAAAGTTCTCATACAGCGTACAATACTGACTGGTCAGAGAGCTAGTCATAAGTTCCCGTGGTCATTAAACAGGCAGGTTAAGTGAGGAGTATCTGTACTTTGATTTAGTTAGACACTCTTTTGATGAAAATGTATTTTAGTTTCAGTTTCATTTTAGGTCGAATAAAATTACAGGAGAATTGGTCGACAATCTACTTTTTGGTGTGTCAATGTGTTGCCAAACTGGGACTTGAATACCAGTATCTCAACTGGCTTCAGTGTTTTTTTCCACTGTATATAATATAGAACACAGTACATAAGCAGATAGATTCCTAATGCCATCTGTCTTTTCAGCATACCGATCAGTAAATAACCAGAACTTTTGTCTGTAGCACTAGAAAGTCTAGCCGATACATTGCCAAACACAGAAATGACCTACAGAAGGAAAGGTTTCACATACTACATGATTTATGGGGGCAGCGTGTGGCTCAATGGGCTAAGCCTGTGTGCCTGTAATCAGAAGGTTGCCGGTTCAAACAGCCTCAGCACGTCTGTGGGTCCTTGAGCAAGGCCCTTAACCCCCAGCTCCCTGGGCGCCCCAAGGCCCTTAACCCCCAGCTCCCTGGGCGCCCCAAGGCCCTTAACCCCCAGCTCCCTGGGCACCCCAAGGCCCTTAACCCCCAGCTCCCTGGGCGCCCCAAGGCCCTTAACCCCCAGCTCCCTGGGCGCCCCAAGGCCCTTAACCCCCAGCTCCCTGGGTGCTGCTATGGGTGGCTGCCCTTTGCGGACAGCTTACTCTACAAAAAAGAGCAAGTTGAGGGAGGCGTAAAGACAATTTCCCCACGGGGATCAATAAAGTATCAATTATTATTTATGGCAAACCCAGGATAAATTTGGCACAGGGCTTCATGTTAGCAGCCGATTCTTACAGGGAGGTGGGAGAATTTTCAGATTCCAATATTCAGCTGAATTTCTTTCTAGAATGTCCAATCGTTGCACATTACCATTACCAACGTTTTCAAAATGCTGTAGACTTTGGAGATTTTTGGGCACTCTGGAACAGCGCTAGGAGGGCCAATTTGACTCATACCCACCGTCTTTGATTACTAATTACTTTTACTTTATTTGCACTATGTGTGCTATCTTTGTACCTTGTCTGTTTGGCACCATATTCATCTGTGCACTATTTCTTGTTGCTGCTGCATGGACCAGAATTTCCCCCTTGCATCAATAAAGTTCATCTTAATCTTAATACATCTTACCTGTGTTTTATGAGTAGGGTACTTGTGAGAAGTTCTGTACTGGTGCCACACCATGGTCAAAATATGAACTGCACATAAATTTTCCAGTGCTACAGTAGGCAGTTATTTGCCACATACGTATCAGTTACTTCAGAATGCTGATGTTTCTTCTCAAAACATTTTCCATTTGAATATTGCTTATATCTCAAATATTTGTTACAGCACTAATTAGGAGGATTTAAAAGTGTCACTCAACAGCATTTGCAGAAAATGTTGAACATATAACATTAGGGGAAAAAACACTGAAGCCGACAGGATACTGGTATTCAAGTCTCAGTACTGCAACCGAGAAATGTGCAATGAGGAAATGTGAATTAGTTATTGTTCAAATCTGAATTAGTTATTGTTCATTTCCAACACACACACACGCGCACACACACACACACACACACACACACACACACAGTTTTTAAATTTTGTAGGGACTCTTCATTTATTTCTATGGGCAAAACCCTAATCCCAACTATGAGAACCTTAGCCATCTTGCACTGATACACAGATTAACCATAAAGTAACCTTAACCCTAAGTAACCAAATAAGATTCAAGACTTTTTTAGTTAATTTTTTTGTTTTTTTCCAAAGATTTTTCTAAAATTGAATTTCCTCAGGCGGGAACCAGAAAAATGTCCCCAACAACTTCAAAATAATGAGTTTTTAGCACTTTGGTCCCCATAATATTATATATACACACAGTACATAACCACACACACCTACACACACACGTAGAGCTTAGAGACCAGGAAGCTCCCTCACCTAAGTTGACCACATTTTTGGCCCAGAATGTGGGATCGCAGAAGAAGCGCACAGCACCATTGGCCGGAGGGACAGGGTCCAGTCGAGCCTTCAGGATGTATCGTAGCTGGTAGGTAATCTGCAGAGAAAACAATCTTTAAAGGACACAAGTCTTTGGCCTAAGGTTAATCACGATTTGGATTATTATACCTTCAGGTTTTATATGTCTGGGATAAGTGAGTGGACACCAGTGGAAGTGGCTGAGTGACAGTGTGTACACAGTCCCTACCAGACGCTTGCTGTAGAGCAGGGCAGTGCTGCTGCCATTGCTGATGGCCCAGTGGGTGAAACTGAGAACGTGTGAGATTTGCTGGGCCAGGACGTTGATGTCCCTCTGCTGACTCAGCAGCTTCATGCTCCGCTCTTTTGTCACGTTCTGCAGGATGCAAGAGCAAGAGTCTAATTTCCATCAGGAAAAATGCAATCATACCCAAGAAATGCAGGAAAATGCACGTTCAGGGTAATCTCAGCACCACACACATCCGACGTGGAACCCTCTGCTGAGACACCGGTTCCCCTCAGCTACAGTAGTCTTACCTCCAGCTGCTGCAGTAGAGATTTGCCCTTCTTGTTGATCTCATTGATGAGCGTAAAAACTGCTATTTTGATTTCATGCTCCACCTTCTTGTGAGTCTCATTCACCTCTTTTATCCTAATGTGGGCAGAACAAAAACAAAAGATGAGACCCACCGGATCCTATTTGTAGCAGGACCACCAAGCTCTTCAGCATGTCACTCATTGTTCCTCTCGCATCCCATACCTGCTCTGCACCTGAGAGGCAGAGTACTGCACGTAAGTCTTCTTCTCCTGCAGCTTTGCCATAAAGGTCTCAATTATTCCTTTCTGGTTCTGAAAGGCCTCCTCCAGGAATTGATACCTGACCAATAAAGCACAGGACTCAGCAACGTGCCTGGGAGAGCAGTGTACTGCCACAGCCTTACCCATGAGTAAATGTGATGCTGGACTGCAAGTAGGGGTGTGCAATTTGACGTTGTTAGATTAAAATATCTCCATGATCTGCCGATACGAAGAAATCGTTATTATAGTACTACAGCGCACATTCTATCAGTGGCAGTTCTACAGCTCATACACACATCTAAAGTTGTTTTGTCAGCCAAATCTGTTTCGACACACCAATAAACCAGTTACAGCAGTAAGTAGTGCCTTGGATTTCTTCCTCTTTCCCTTTCTCGTCCCAACATGCAATGCATTCCCTTTTTGGCAATGCAGGGGCCTGGATGACACGAAGGAATTGGTCCTAAATATCTTAAAAACAAACATGAAAAAGAATCATAATAAGATCATGGATCGGGATCCAAATCGTGATATGATGTTTTTTGCCATATCGCCCACACTGAATTACAAGAATGAGGTACCAGGAAGATAACTGCCAGCATCAGTGCAATAAAGGACAAAACAGCAGCACAATAAAAACAAGACAAAAGCTAAAAAAGCAAATAATACAATTTTAGTAGCTGCGGGGCTCTTGAAAATGGTGTGGCAATCCATCATTACACATAATTTATAAAGAATGTCACATGAAACAGGAATTAATGTAACCTAGTTTGCATGGTTTGAACAACTTCTTGCATACAACAGGCTTCAAGGTCGTTTTCAGTTAAATTTTGCAACCATGTCTGGAAATAATGGTTTTCAAACTATTCTGGCCACAACCAGCATTTCTGCGTTCCTCCCATTACAGCGTACATGGGTGCCGGCACAAAGCCCCACACTGCAGTAAAGTTAGCAATATATTTGAAATGCGGTTTTCCTGATGAATTCTCAACAAAAGCAAGCCAGGTGGTTTTTAATGACACAGATGTTATGCCCAGCATACAGGTATAGTTGCACACCAATCGTTGTTGTGTTTCAAGTCCTTTTACTGTGCGCATTAAATCCTTCTTAATATCTACGAGAAGATGTGATCTACAGAAGAACTCCTACCCAGCACCACTCAACAACTCAACCTCCTGAGCTGGGGTTTCCAGAGGAGGGGTCAGCACTACTAGATGGTCCATACATCCTCCAGCTGCTCAGAGTGGGGGGGGGGGCGACCTGCAGCCTATCCAGGAGCAGATACAAGGGAAGACCAGGGGTGGCCATGGCAACCCCTAGAAAATATGTGGTCACCCCAGTTTCCACCCATCACCAAAAAATAAAACCTAATTATGACGCATTTAACTATGTAAACCGGACCTGACCAACCTGTTAATCTTGGTGTTTCTCAATCCAGTCTGATCGTGAGATGATTAATGCATAATGCTTGCGATCAACAAACTATTACCTCACTGCCATCCCATTAAAATTATTGGGACCTCATTGCACAAGGCCGGGCTACACCTCCGAGCCAATCCCAGGCAGCTAAGGGCACGATACTGTAGCACAGACTGTTAGGCACAGTGTCCATTTTAGACACACCATTAGCCTAATTGCACGTCCATGGACTGCAGGTGGAATTAAATAAAACATCTGCTTTAAGCATTTGTGAACAAATGCACTTTTGTCGTGGATGCATTTGACTCACTAATTTACATTTATATTGATGTGTCATCCAAAAGCTATTCGGCCACATCAGCATGGTCGTCCACAACATTCTGATGGAGTTTCGCTTTAAACATTAACAAGACTGCATTGGCAGGATAACCCACGGAAAAACAGTACAAATATATAATCAGAGGTAGATGCAGAAAGCAAAAATCTAGACCAAGATTTTGTTTCAACCAAGCAGTTGAGTACTCTGACAGTGAACTGGCTGGCTAAAGCAAAATCCTGGTCAGGATTTTTACCTTCTGGACCTGAACGATCCACCTCTCAATATAAGAAAATCCTAGGTTGTAATAAAAGCAGTACAGCTTTGACAGGACAGCAGCTAGAATCTTACAAGACTTGGTGGCAAAAATCCCTTAAATCATTAAGGGCTTCAGTGAAGGAAGTCAAGTAGTCAGGTGAATATCTGATTACCAGCCCACTATTATCACAGGAGCCCTTCAGCAGCAGATGGCTCGGGGACCCAGGTCTCACCTGTGCTCCTTGTGTTCCAGCAGCTGGCAGTCCCTGCAGGTGAGGGTGTCGCACGTTTCGCAGAAGAGCTTCAGTGCCTCTTGCTTGTGGATGGGGCAGAACACAGGCCGCTGGCCCGAGGTCTCCACCGATTCTGTAGGGCAGAGCGAGGGATTCACAAAGCCGCCGTATAGCCAAAGCGAGAAACGGCGCCGACACAGACAGGGGGCCGTCGGAAACCGCAGCGTTTTATTCCCCAGGCAGAGCCGTCACTCACGTCTACCATCTAAATACATAGTGCCAAAACACTCACCAACCTGTACAATTTCTAGAGGTCCTGCATGGATCAACTGGAAGAGCGAAAGTTAATAAATGTGTTTTTACCTGAATGCTCAGAGTCCTAGTTGTGATACGCAGATCTGAAAGTATACTTATTCATTTATTGCAAATTCCAGTTATAAGACAATTCACAGAATCTACCCTCAAGAACTAAGCTGTTACTTGGGTTTCCTTCCGAATGTTTTAATGTCCATGTCTGAAAATGCTGTTTATTTTACTTATATTTTGATGGTCCTTCTACCATTTCACTATATACCCAGTGTTATGCACTGTTAGCTATCAGTTATCCCAGATCAGTTCTCCACTTGACAAAGTCATTCTATCTTCGGTCTCCGGTCCGGAATTCCAGTCCAGGTCCCACCTGCAGCTCCCCTTCACCACCCAGAAGTGAATATAAGCAGCCCTCAGTCGGACACCTGACCAGCTTTTGCTCATTTTCGATTGTGATTATATGCCTACTGTATTTACCGGCTCTCTCGAATTTGACTTGAATCTGATTGTGCTAGAGATTACACTTGGCCCAGTAGGGTCTCTGGTGGCGAATTGGTCCTAGGTGAGCGGTTACACAAAGTACAATGCAGAACAACCCCCGTGATTATAAAGAACAAAGATCACATAACCTTGTCCAGATTATGGAAACCAGAGCCCCACCCTGAAGCCTGGCCTGGGGTGAAGCTCACAGGCGAGTGCCTGGTGGTCAGGCCTCTCTACCCACTGGGCCTGGGCAGGCATAGCCTGAAGGAGTTACACCCCGCAGAGGGGCCATGGGGGTCAGCTGTGTTGCGGACTGGACGGCCTTGGAGGACGGGCCTTGACAGATCAATCCGAGGTTACTGGAATTGGGGCTCTGTTCACTGGGGCAGATTCCTGCACTTCAGAGCAGCAGCCAGTGGCTCTTGGACATGCCAGGAATGTTTTATAGTCGTGATGATCAAAGTGTGGAGTCTAGTCTCAACACAAAGTGGTCAGCTGAATAACAAGCAGTGAAAAGAGGGGGGATGAGTGTGAATGTATATTTTCACAGATCGAAAATCAGCTGATCCACGATTCTAACTGGTGCAGAGTCAATATATAATGCAGTGGCATGTCGTTACAATGCAGTCAGCCTGCTAAAACAACTAAAAGGTAAAGCAAATACATAACATACACTTCACTGATCTAAAGGAGGATTTGGTTGCGTACATAAAGGAAGACAAAGTGCAGATACAAACAAAAGCGCAAACATTGTGTAGACTTTACCCACAGTACAACCAATTAAACAAAATTAATAAATGCAGCAAAATCAATGGCTTTTCAGCATTGATGTGTTGCGTACATGATACGACGCATCAGTCATTAGTTAAAATAGATGAAAAAAGGTTTTGCATGACTTAAGTTTAAAAGTGTCGTGTCAAATGCAGTCAAAAACACAGCTGTGTTTTTGTTAGAATTGCAACGAAAACTGAAACGGTTTGTGTGTCATTAAGCCATTTAGCTCAAACCACTTGTGACAATAAAGTGGGTGTCGCTTGTGGAGGTTTTACAAACTGGGGAAAAGAATACATAACACAGGAGGGGAAAATGTAAAAAATAGATAAGGAGCAGAAAAATCAGACTAGAGAAGAGAGCACACTAAAGATAAAAATCAGAGATACACCAAACTTTGCAAGCTGCAGTCCAGAGTGTTTAAAAAGCCCCCCCCCCCTTTAGAAAGTACAGCAGGGTTGGGCGCCCAACGGCCTGCACGTTGCATCAAGCCGCCGCCACTCTTTTTCCAGCCTGCTCGCTGTGTACAAAAATATTAAGTGTATGTTCTGTAAATGAACTATATAAAAACACAATGAATGAAATGAACATTAGCGCATAATGATGTCTGACCACTAGGGGGAGCTGGAAACAGTTACCAAGAGAAATGTGAAATACTAAGGGTAAGCCCAATGTCTGGCTGAAATCAGTATCCAGCATGAATACTGCATTCGTTCTGAAGCCAACTGCCATCCCATGATTACAAATGATTATCCATGTCTGTCTTCAGTGCTTCATTACATTTTTCTGTTTTGCATTGTATTATGTGGGTTTTAAAATCTCTTGGTTAGACATAGGGTTGGGGGGTATTAGATACTGGCCAAGCCTACTTAGATCGCAGGTGTACTTTGTGAAGTTCATGTTGCACTTACTCTTTCTCCCTTGCGTGCATTTTACATTATACGTTGTATTTTGGTGGTATGTTTCAAACACTATGTTGATTACTTAACATTCAGGCCTGTGTGTATCCAAGTATTTGACTTATTTTATGCTAATTTAAGATGTTCTGCAGCCTAACTACAGAACGCTATATAGTCCAGCTCAAAATATATTATACAGTGATCCCCTGCTATATCGCGGTCCAGCTATCGCACCCCCACTATATCGCAGATTTTCCCTCGACGCATCACACTCTGCGTATCACGTACCGTGCTTGTGGTCCAATTGTGGTCCGAAGATACCCCTCCTAAACCACCTGAAGGTGAGCCTTCAGAAGAGCTGTAAATGCTCTGCGTTGCTGTGCAGTACATACTCATCACCTTCATACGTACTTCATCGTGCACTGCACAGCTAATTCATCATCATCATTCAAGTTATGCAGTGTATCTTCACTGGTGATTACCCATACTGAGCTTTAAATGTTTTTATTTTTACATATTCCATTACGTACATGTGTGGGTGTGTATATACAGTGTGAGTCTGCGCACATCTTTGTGGAGAGTAGAAGAAATGGACTGTTTGTTTGGGTGGAGAGGGCAGGTTTCTGGCACGATTCCAGGGTGTGTGCAAAATACTATTATGGTTTTTAAAAAAATCTCAACATATGGACTGTGTTGCATTGTTTTTGGGTTACAGGACAGGTTGGGTTAGGATGTGCTGTACTATATCTGTTTGCTTAATACATATATACATACACACACACACACACACACACACACAC